ATATTCCTGCCCCCTTTGTCAAAGATAAGGTGTCCATAGGTGTGTGGATTTATATCCAGGCTTTCTATTTTGTTCCATTGATCTATGTTTCTGTCTTTGTGCCAGTACCATACTGTCTTGATGACTGTAGCTTTGTAGTAGAGCCTGAAGTCAGGCAGGTTGATTCCTCCAGTTCCATTCTTCTTTCACAAGATTGCTTTGACTAGTCGAGGTTTTTTTGTATTTCCATACAAATTGTGAAATTATTTGTTCTAGTTCTCTGAAAAATACCATTGGTAGCTTGGTGGGGATTGCATTGAATCTATAGATTGCTTTGGGTAGTATACTCATTTTCAGTATATTGATTCTTCTGATCCATGAACATGGCTTATTTCTCCATCTATTTGTGTCATCTTTGATTTCTTTCATCAGTGTTTTATAGTTTTCTATATACAAGTCTTTTGTTTCTTTAGGTAGATATATTCCTAAGTATTTTATTCTTTTCGTTTCAATGGTGAATGGAATTGTTTCCTTCATTTCTCTTTCTGTTTTCTCATTGTTAGTGTATAGGAATGCAAGGGATTTCTGTGTATTAATTTTACATCCTGCAACTTGACTATATTCATTGATTAGCTCTAGTAATTTTCTGGTGGAGTCTTTAGGGTTTTCTATGTAGAAGATCATGTCATCTGCAAAGAATGAGAGTTTTATTTCTTTTCCAATCTGGATTCCTTTTATTTCTTTTTCTTCTCTGATTGCTGTGGCTAAAACTTCCAAAACTATGTTGAATAGTAGTGGTGAGAGTGGAGAGTGGGCACCCATGTCTTGTTCCTGACTTTAGGGAAATGCTTTCAATTTTTCACCATTGAGGATAATGTTTGCTGTGGGTTAATCATATATGGCTTTTATTATGTTGAGGTATGTTCCTTCTGTGCCTGCTTTCTGGAGGGTTTTTATCATAAATGGATGTTGAATTTTGTCAAAGGTTTTCTCTGCATCTATTGGGATAATCAAATGGTTTTTATCTTTCAATTTGTTGATGTGGTGTATCACATTGATTGATTTGTGACTATTGGAGAATCCATGCATCCCTGTGATAAAGCGCACTTGGTCATGATCTTTTTAATATGTTGTTGGATTCTGTTTGCTAGAATTTTGTTAAGGATTTTTGCATCTGTGTTCATCAGTGTTATTGGCCTGTAGTTTTCTTTTTTGGTGCCATCTTTGTCTAGTTTCGGTATTAGGGTGATGGCCTCATAGAATGAGTTTGGAAGTTTGCCTTCCTCTGCAATTTTCTGCAAGAGTTTGAGTAGGCTGGTGTTAGCTCTTCTCTAAATTTTTGGTAGAATTCAGCTGTGAAGCCATCTGGTCCTGGGCATTTTTTGTTGATTTGATTCTTCTACCTTTCTTTCTTGATGTGGTGAATGGTTTGTCTATTTTATTTATCTTCTCAAAGAACCAGCTTTTAGCTTTGTTGATTTTGGCTGTGGTCTCCTTTGTTTCTTTTGTATTTATTTCTGCCCTGATTTTTATGATTTCTTTCCTTCTACTAACACTGGGGTGCTTCATTTCTTCTTTTCTATTTGCTTTAGATGTAGAGTTAGGTTATTTATTTGATTTCTCTCCTGTTTCTTGAGGTAGGCTTTTATTGCTATGAACCTTCCCCTTAGCACTGCTTTTACTGAATCCCATAGGTTTTGGGTTGTTGTGTTTTCATTTTCATTCTTTTCTATGCATATTTTGATTTCTTCTGTGATTGTTGGTTATTCAGAAGTGTGTTGTTTAGCCTCCATATGTTTGTATTCTTAATAGTTTTTTTTCCTGTAGTTGACATCTAATCTTACTGCATTGTGATCAGAAAAGATGCTTGAGATTATTTCAATTTTTTGAATTTACCAAGGCTAGATTTATGGCCCAGGTGGTGATCTGTCCTGGAGAAGTTCCGTGTGCACCTGAGAAAAAAGTGAAATTCATTGTTTTAGGTTGAAATGTCCTATAGATATCAGTTAGATCTAACTGGTTCATTGTATCATTTAAAGTTTGTGTTTTCTTGCCAATTTTCTGTTTAGTTGATCTACCCATAGGTGTGAGTGGGGCATTAAAGTCTCCCACTGTTACTGTGTTACTGTTAATTTCCTCTTTCATACTTGTTAGCATTTGCCTTAGATATTGTGGTGCTCCTTTGTTGGGTACATATATATTTATAATTGTTATATCTTCTTCTTGGATTGATCCTTTGATCATTACATAGTGTCCTTCTTTCTCTTTTCACAGTCTTTATTTCAGTCTATTTTATCTAATAGGAGTATTGCTACTCCTGCTTTCTTTTGGTCTCCATTTGCATGAAATATCTTTTTCCAGCCCTTCACTTTCAGTCTGTATGTGTCCCTAGGTTTGAGGTGGGTCTCTTGTAGACAGCATATATAGGGGTCTTGGTTTTGCATCCATTCAGCCATTCTTTGTCTTTTGGTTGGGGTATTCAGCCCATTTACATTTAAGGTAATTATTGATAAATGTGATCCCATTGCCATTTACTTTGTTGTTTTGGGTTTGAGTTTATGAACCCTTTCTGTGTTTCCTGTCTAGAGAAGATCCTTTAGCATTTGTTGAAGAGCTGGTTTGGTGGTGCTGAATTCTCTCAGCTTTTGCTTGTCTGTAAAGCTTTTGATTTCTCTTTCATATTTGAATGAGATCTTTGCTGGGTACAGTAATTTGGGTTGTAGGTTTTTCTCTTTCATCACTTTAAGTATGTCCTGCCATTCCTTTCTGGCCTGAAGAGTTTCTATTGCAAGATCAGCTGTTATCCTTATGGGAATCCCCTTGTGAGTTATTTGTTGTTTTTCCCTTGCTGCTTTTAATGTTTGTTCTTTGTGTTTGATCTTCATTAATTTGATTAATATGTGGTTTGGGGTGTTTCGCCTTGGGTTTATTCTGTTGGGACTCTCTGGGTTTCTTGGACTTGGGTGGCTATTTCCTTCCCCATTTCAGGGAAGTTTTCAACTATTATCTCCTCAAGTATTTTTCTCATGGCCTTTCTTTTTGTCTCCTTCTGGGACTCCTATGATTGGAATGTTGGGATGTATAACATTGTCCCAGAGGTTTCTGAGGTTTTGCTCATTTCTTTTAATTCTTCTTTTTTTCTCTCTGCTTCATTTATTTCCGCCTTTCTATCTTCCACCTCACTTATCCTATCTTCTGCCTCAGTTATTCTACTGTTGGTTCTCTCCAGAGTGCTTTTGATCTCAGTTATTGCATTATTCATTATTGATTGACTTTTTTATTACTTCTAGGTCCTTGTTAAAACTTTTCTTGCATCTTCTTAATCCTTGTCTCCAGACTATTTATCTGTAACTCCATTTTGTTTTCAAGATTTGGGATCATTTTTACTTCATTATTCTGAATTCTTTCTCAGGTAGACTCCCTATCTCCTCCTCTTTGGTTTGGTGGGCTTTTATCATGTTCCTTTACCTGCTGAATATTTCTCTGCGTTTTCATCTTGTTTAGGTTGCTGTATTTGAGGGGACCTTTCTGTATGCTAGTAGTTTGTGGTTCCTCTTTATTGTGGAGGTTCCTCCCTGTGGATGGGGTTGGACGAGTGACTTGTCAAGGTTTCCTGGTTAGGGAAGCTTGCATCCCTCTTCTGGTGGATGGAGCTGGATCTCTTCTGTTTGGAGTGCAATAAAGTGTCTGGTAGTGAGTCTAGGATCCCAGGATGCCAGGAAGACTTGGTTAGCAACTGGGAGTCTGCTTGCAGTTTGGTAGAGGATGCCTGTCTTTGGAGCCGAGTTTGCCCCTTGCCCTCCGGTTCTGGCTGTTGCATGCCTGCCTCCCTGCCTCTGGCAGGGGATGGGCCGGCCGGCTCTCTCTCCTTTGGTATTAACTCAGTCCTTTGTTCTGTGAGTGACCCAGCATTTTCTTTCGCGGGAAAGTTCTCTCTCTCTCTCTCTCTCCCCTCTTTTTTTTTTTCCTCTCTCTGGCTATCCCCCGGTTTGGGTTGCTATCTCACATTAGCTCCCTCAGATTGCCTTCAGGGCATTCAGGCCCAGTCCTTACCCTAAGCAATGCAACTGGCGCCTCCCTGTTCAGCCCCCGCTTGCTGGTGGCAGATGCTAGTGTCTGGGCCACTTCTCAGCTGGGAGTTGCAGTTAGGCACGTAATCTGTGGGTTTTATTTATTTATTTTTTCCTCCCGGTTATGTTGCCCTCCGAGATTCCAAAACTCCCCACAGACCTGCCGATGAGAGAGTTTCCTGGTGTTTGATAACTTCTCTTTTACGACTCCCTCCCCGGGATGGGTCTCTGTCCCTAACTCTATTGTCTCTCTTTTTATCTTTTATATTTTGTCCTATCTCCTTTCGAAGACAATGGGCTGCCTTTCTGGGTGCCTGGTGTCCTCCGCCAGCGTCCAGTTGTTTTGTGGTATTTGCTTAGTGTTCAAATGATCTTTTGATGAATTTGTGGGGGAGAAAGTGATCTCCCCATCCTATTCCTCCGCCATCTTAGGACTGCCCTCATTAGTTCAGTTTTAAATTGAGATCATATACTAGTTAATTTTATATCAAGACTTTTATCTAATGACAAAATTTGATTTCTACCTTGATTTTGATTCATGCTTACAGATAGTTTTTAGGTTATAGTGCTGTAGTGATTAAATGATGAAGACCCTGTCTTTGGGCACTTCACAGTCATGTGGGGCACTTAACATGTAAACAGAAATTTACAGTCCATTGTTAAAATTTCTCCCATGAAGATGCTGTGACATGATTAGAGCCTCATGTGTTGTAGGGCTCAGGATAGGGGGGTTGGTGGGGTGTTAGGATAAGCCACTTAAGGTGCTTCTCTGGCTAATTTATGTTAGAATTCTGAGCATCAGATCCTTAAGCTGCCATTATATTTGGTTGTATCTGTGGGAAACTTTTGGTTTCATTGTTCAAAAAAAAAGAACTAAGTATTTATAGTTTGTGGGAAATTAAGGATAGTAATGAGGAGTTGCTGGTGTGAAATAATTTTACCTCTTTACAGACAGATCCAGTGGAGTATGTGGAAAACATGTGTGAAAACATGCAGCTGTACCCACTACAGGACTTTCTCACTGGAGATCAGCTTCTTTTTGAATACAAGCCAGAAGTAAGGAGGTTTCCATCTCTAAACCTTACTTTTAGAGAAAGAGGAGGGTGAGAAAGTGCAGAGAGGTACATGAGAATGGAGAAAATTAGGTTATGTTTAGTTAGGTTTTTGTTTCTTTTAACTGAAGAAATATCAAGTTTTGTGTATGATTTTTCATGACTCTTGTATATGACCGTGCTTTAAAATGAGGAGAAAATCAAGTCCTCTCCTTAGGTACTCTTCTTACTATTTTTCAAGTGTTGAAACATCTATTAAAGTCATTTCTAAGAATTGTGTGCTTTAGGTGATAAACATACTTGCTTAGCTTGCCTTTTAATTCTGTTGGAGACTCTATACAATTTTAATCATTTTGAGAATACAACAAAAAAACAAGAATCTTGATTTCAAAATATATGACTAATGTGTAATAAATATTACACATAAATAGTTGGTCAGGGTCTTTCCTCCACTAGTCCAAGTAAATAAATCATTTCAATCCATGTGGGGTAGAGGTTCTCAACCAGGGGTGATTTTGTCCCCTTGGGATACTTGTCACTGCCGGGGTGCGAGGAAAACCACTCAGCATCACAGTAATCCCAGTGTGCGCCAACCACTGATACCGAAGAAGCTGAAGGTGACCAGTTCTGTGAAAACCTACAACACTTCTAAAATTAGCACCAAAAAAGATGTCCTTTTCATCATAGGGGATTGGAATGCAAAAATAGGGAGTCAAGAGATACCCAGAATAACAGGAAAGTTTGGCCTTGAAGTACAAAATGAAGTAAGGCAAAGGCTAACAAAGTTTTGTCACAAAAGCACACTGATCATTGCAAACACCCTTTCCAACAACCCAAAGACAACTCTGCACATGGATATCACCAGAATGGTCAGTACCAAAATCATATTGATTTATGTTCTTTGCAGCTAAAGATGGAGAAGCTGTAGATAGTAAAAACAAGACCTGGAGCTGACTGTGGCTCAAATCATGAGCTTCTTATTGCAAAATTCAGGCTTAAATTGAAGAAAGTAGGGAAAACTGCCAAGCCATTCAGGCATGACCTAAATCAAATCCCTTATGATTATATGGTAGAGGTAACTAATAGATTCAAGGGACTAGATCTGATAGACAGAATGACTAAAGAAATATGGATGAAGGTTCATAACATTGTATAGGAGGCAGTGACCAAAACCATCCCAAAGAAAAAGAAAACAAATTCAAAAAGGCAAAGTGGTTGTCTGAAAAGGCTTTACAAAGAGCTGAGAAAAGAGAAGTGAAAGACAAGGGGAAAAGGTAAAAATACACCCAAGATGAATGCAGAGTTCTGGAAAACAACAAGGAGAGAATAAACCTTCTTAAATGAACAATGCAAAGGAATAGAAGAATACTATAGGCTGGATAAGAGTAGAGATCTCTTCAAGAAAATTGGAGATACCAGTGTAACATTTCATGTAAGGATAGGCAGGATAAAGGACAGAAATGGTATGGACCTGAAATAAGCAGAAGAGATTAAGAAGAGGTGGTAAGAATACACAAAAGAACTATACAAAATGGGTCTTAATGACCTGGATAACCAAGATGGTGTGGTCACTCATCTAGAGCCAGACATCCTTGGAGGGTGAAGTCAAGTGGGCCTTAGGAAGCATCACTACGAACAAAGCTAGTGGAGGTGATGGAATTCCAGCTGAGTTATTTCAAATCCTAAAAGATGATGCTGTGAAAGTGCTGCACACAATATACCAGCAAATTTGGAAAACTCAGCAGTGGCCACAGGACTGGTAAAGGTCAGTTTTCATTCCAATCCCAAAGAAGGGCAGTGTCAAAGAATATTGAAACTACCATACAATTACTCATTTCACATGCTAGCAAAGTAATGCTCAAGATCTTGCAAGCTAGGCTTCAGCTGTACATTAACTGAGAACTTCCAGATGTACAAACTAGGTTTAGAAAAGGCAGAGGAACCAGAGATCAAATTGCCAACGTTCTTTGGATCATAGAGAAAGCAAGGGAATTATAGAAAAACATCTACTTCTGCTTCATGAAGACTGTGCTAATAAAACCTTTGTCTGTGTGGATCACAACAAACAGTGGAAAATTCTTAAAGAGGTGGGAATATCAGACTATCTTACCTGTCTCCTGAGAAACCTGTATGTGGGTCAAGAAGCAATAGTTAGAACCAGACATAGAAAAACTGACTGGTTCAAAATTGGGAAGTGAGTATAGGCTGTATACTGTCACCTTGCTTATTTAATTTGTACATCATGTGAAATGCTGGGCTGGGTGAATCACATGCTGAAATCAGAATTGCCAGGAGAAATACTGGCAACCTCAGATACGCAGATGATACCATTCTAATGGCAGAAAACAAAGAGGAGCCAAAGATCCCCTTGATTAGGGTGAAAGAGAAGTGAAAAAGCAGGCTTAAAACTCAGCATTCAGAAAAATGAAGATCATGGCATCCAGTCCCATCATTTCATGGCAAATGGAAGGGATAAAGGTGGAAGCAGTGACAGATTTTATTTTCTTGGGCTCCAAAATCTCTGCAGATGGTGATTGCAGCCATAAAATTAAAAGATGCTTGCTTCTTGGCAGGAAAGCTATGACAAACCTAGACAGTTTATTAAAAAGCAGACATCACTTTGTCAACAAAGGTCCATATATAGTCAAAGCTGTTTTTTCCATTAGTCATGTGTGGATGTGAGAGTTGGGCCGTCAAGAAGGCTGATCGCCAAAGAACTGATGTTTTTGAACTGTGCTGGAAAAGACTCTTGAAAGTCCCTTGAACAGCATGGAGATCAAACCAGTCAATCCTAAAGGAAATCCACCTTGAATATTCATTGGAAGTACTGATGCTGAAGCTGAAGCTCCAATACTTTGGCTACCTGATATGAAGAACTGACTCATTGGAAAAGACCCTGATGCTGGGAAAGATTGAAGGCAAGAGGAGAAACGGTTGGCAGAAGATGAGATGGTTAGGTAGTATCACGGGCTCAATGGAATGAGTTGGAGCAAAGTCCGGGAGATAGTGGAGGACAAAGAAGCCTGGTGTGCTGCAGTCCATGGGGTTGCAAGGAGTTGGACACGACTTAGTGACTGAACAATAGCAACAAAGGGTACGTTTCAGTTGTCACAGCTGGAGACTGATCTTGGCATCTAGTGGGTAGAAGCCAGAGTTATTGCTGAACATTTTACAATGCAGGAGATGGCACTCTACAACTAGGAATTATCTGGCCCAAAATGTTAATAGTGCTGAGGTGAGAGACTTTGATGTAGGTGTTGTAAAACTACTAATTTTAAACAAGATAGGGAAAGGTAAAGGAAGAAGCAGTAACCACATATTCTTGTCATTTCCCTAGGATGATTGTGCCGAGGGATCTAAGTATTTTTTTCTGAACCACTGTTTGTTGTTTTTTTCTCAAAGAAATGTTTTTAAGCGGTAGTTAGAGTTTCAAATCTAACCCACAAAAATCTTATGCTTAGTTCTTATCATAGCTGAAGGAGTATTGCAGGAGGCTCTACATTGGATCATTTTACTGATTCTTGTGTTTGAAGTAGTATAATATGTAATAGTTAAGAGCATAGTTTTTAAAATTATGTACAAACTTGGTTAGAACTCCACTTTTGTCACTTCTAGGTGTGTTGGTCTGTGCAGATTATAGAATCTTTAATCTGAGCAAATTACTTAAACTTTTACCTCTGAGGCTGACTGAGTGCTTTCTATAAAATAGGTATGAAAAGTAAAGTGAAACTATTAATTGCTCAATCGTGTCTGACTCTTTGCGACCCCATGGACTGTAGCCCACCTGGCTCCTCTGTCCATGGAATTCTCCAGACAAGAATACTGGAATGAGTATCCATTCCCTTCTCCAGGGGACCTTCCCGAACCAGGGAAAATGGGTATACCTTAGGGTTATTTTTAGGATTAAATGAAACACTACCTGGCACATAGTAAAAGCTTAGTAAATGGTAGCTCTTTTCACTGCTAGTCCTCTTATGTAGGATTTGAGATGAGAACTGTTGGAGCATTCTGAAGAAAGATATTTGAAGCTGCTGATAGACTAATGAAGTTTTGTCAGTTAGGGTGGTCATAGGCTATAGACAGTTTCATGAGCATTAAGGTGCTAGGATCTTGGGTGTCTAACATTGTGTGGCTTTGCCTTTTTAACAGAGATGTATTAGATTGAAGTTATAATTTGTTGTATATGTGTCTCTCCCCTCCACTTTCCCTCTGCCCCCAATTAGGTCATTGCTGAAGCCCTTAATCAGCTAGTTCCTCAAAAGGCAAATCTTGTTCTACTGTCTGGTGCTAATGAGGGAAAATGTGACCTCAAGGAGAAATGGTTTGGGACTCAGTATAGTATGGAAGGTAAAATATTTTAAAATTGTGCTACATTTAAGTATATGATTCACCTGGAAAGTTTTATTCCTTAATAGTTTGTCTGGTAGTTCCTGTGGGGAAAATAGTATTTATTTTTTAAGAAGTTTACTTTGAAATGAAAATGATTCATATTACTTTGCCAGAAATTATTTTCTGTGATGCTTATATCTTTATTAGTTAGTGAGAAAATCCTGTTGTCTTGGTAGCCTGGGGGTATTTTCGACTGTGTTTTAGAAAAGTGCCCCTCAGACTTTAGTGTGCATATGTATCACCTGGAGATCTTATTAAAATATGGATTGTGATTCAGTAGCTCTAGAGTTGAGCCTGTGATTCTGTGTTTCTAACAAACTTTCCAGGTGATAACAATGCTGATGAAATCACCCATTGAGTAGCAGGAGTTTGGAAACTCTGGTTATGTCACTTACAGTTTTCCTGAGAAAAAAGAATTGGTTAGTGAAGACCAGTTGTTGACTGGTTTGTTATTATGAGAATTCTGAACATTGCATTCTTTATTGGATCAGTTTGTCTTTTATCTCTACAGATATTGAAAACTCTTGGGCTGAACTATGGAAGAGTGATTTTGAATTGAATCCAGATCTTCATCTTCCAGCTGAAAACAAGTACATAGGTCAGTGAAATATCAGTCATTATACAGAATCCATCCATGTACTAATATTAAATAGCATCTGTATAGTATGTTTTACAGAGTATCCTTTGAATTCATATTTAAGTTTCCCAGTCATCTCTGGGATGAACATTACAGTTTTCTTACTTTTCTGAATGATAAAACTGAAGCTCAAAAAAGCAAAGTGACTTGTCCTGGACTGTTCAGTTGGTGAATGCAGGAAACAGGGTGTAAGCATAGATTCTGGGACTTTTTCTGGTCAATGATGGCTGATCCTTTCACGTCAGTCCCTGCAGGCATTGCCATTATCTTGTCTGATTGTTCTAGAGGTTTTCAAACTACAGGCTTCATCCCAGTGTAATGAATTGTGAAAGCATTAAAAAAAAAATAAGAGTGGAAAATAGCAAAATGTTTCATTGAATAAAGAAAGGGTATTATTTTCAGAAGTTTTGTTCCCAGTAGGTATATGTGTATGTTAACCTGTCTACTAGCTTACAATAGAAAACAATTCTAACTGTGAGGAAGTCACTGGTCTAGTACAAATATAACTAATTTACTCAGAATACCATTTTTTCCAGCAGTTCTATTCGTAGGTATATACCCAAAAGAAAACATATTCAAACAAATGCATGTACATGCATGTTGATAGCGGCATTATTCACAAAGGCAAAAGGTGGAAACAGCTAGTGTTCATAATAAATGAATGGATATATAAACTATGGCATATACATACAATGATGTATTATTCTGTCATAAAAAGAAATGAAGTACTGATATATGCTACAGTATGGGTGAATCTTGAAAACATGCTAAATGAAAAAAGACAGACAAAAGGGGTTACATGTATGATTCTGTTTACATGAAATACCCAGAATAGGTAAATCCATAGAGACACAGAACTCAGGTTGATGGTCGCCAGTGGCAGGGGGGAGTGGGTAATGGGGAGCAACTGCTTATTGGGTTTAGGGGTTTCCTTTTAGGCTGATGAAAATGTTTTGCAACTAGAAAGAAGTGGTAGTTGCACAACATTGTGAGTGTACTTAATTCCCCTGAATTGTTCACTTTAAAATGGTTAATTTTGTTAACTTTCAAAAATATGTAAATTTGGTAGAAGATATTCTCATTCAAGAATGCATTCATAAATTGGTCTATACAATTATTTTGACCAAAGGTCCCTCTCACAGTTAAAATTGGTCAGCTCTTGGGAAATTACAGATTTTCAGAGTTCATGTAGTTTAAGGCCAAGAGGACTTTCTTTTTAGTATTGTTCTACTAATTTATTGTACTCTAACATTTGAATTTGACATGTTTTTTTGCCTCAAAAAAGAGTTACCTAAAGAGTCTGAAACCAAGAACAGATTGATGGAAATTTTGTTGTGATAACTGAGTGATTTATTATCTTTTGCTTTTTTTAGCCACAGATTTCATGTTGAAGGCTTTTGATTGTCCAGAGACAGAATACCCTGTTAAAATTGTAAATACTCCACAAGGTTGCCTGTGGTATAAGAAAGACAACAAATTTAAAATCCCCAAAGGTAAAATGTTTCCCTTCTTAAAAATAGTGAAATAAGTATAACAAATCTTTCTCTAGTTTCTCACAACCTTTTTTTTTTTTTAATTTATTTTTATTAGTTAGAGGCTAATTACTTTACAGTATTGTAGTGGTTTTTGTCATACATTGACATGAATCAGCCATGGATTTACATGTATTCCCCATCCTGATCCCCCCTCCCACTTCCCTCTCTACCCGATCCCCCTGGGTCTTCCCAGTGCACCAGGCCTGAGCACTTGTCTCATGCATCCAACCTGGGCTGGTGATCTGTTTCACCCTTGATAATATACATGTTTCGATGCTGTTCTCTCGAAACATCCCACCCTCGCCTTCTCCCACAGAGTCCACAAGTCTGTTCTGTACATCTGTGTCTCTTTTTCTGTTTTGCATATAGGGTTATCATTACCATCTTTCTAAATTCCATATATATGTGTTAGTATACTGTAATGGTCTTTATCTTTCTGGCTTACTTCACTCTGTATAATGGGCTCCAGTTTCATCCATCTCATTAGAACTGATTCAAATGAATTCTTTTTAATGGCTGAGTAATATTCCATGGTGTATATGTACCACAGCTTCCTCATCCATTCATCTGCTGATGGGCATCTAGGTTGCTTCCATGTCCTGGCTATTATAAACAGTGCTGCGATGAACATTGGGGTGCACGTGTCTCTTTCAGATCTGGTTTCCTCGGTGTGTATGCCCAGAAGTGGGATTGCTGGGTCATATGGCAGTTCTATTTCCAGCTTTTTAAGGAATCTCCACACTGTTTTCCATAGCGGCTGTACTAATTTGCATTCCCACCAACAGTGTAAGAGGGTTCCCTTTTCTCCACACCCTCTCCAGCATTTATTGCTTGTAGACTTTTGGATAGCAGCCATCCTGACTGGCGTGTAATGGTACCTCATTGTGGTTTTGATTTGCATTTCTCTGATAATGAGTGATGTTGAGCATCTTTTCATGTGTTTGTTAGCCATCTGTATGTCTTCCTTGGAGAAATGTCTGTTTAGTTCTTTGGCCCATTTTTTGATTGGGTCATTTATTTTTCTGGAATTGAGCTGCAGGAGTTGCTTGTATATTTTTGAGATTAATCCTTTGTCTGTTGCTTCGTTTGCTATTATTTTCTCCCAATCTGAGGGCTGTCTTTTCACCTGGCTTATAGTTTCCTTTGTTGTGCAAAAGCTTTTAAGTTTCATTAGGTCCCATTTGTTTATTTTTGCTTTTATTTCCAATATTCTGGGAGGTGGGTCATAGAGGATCCTGCTGTGATTTATGTCGGAGAGTGTTTTGCCTATGTTCTCCTCTAGGAGTTTTATAGTTTCTGGGCTTACATTTAGATCTTTAATCCATTTTGAGTTTATTTTTGTGTATGGTGTTAGAAAGTGTTCTAGTTTCATTCTTTTACAAGTGGTTGACCAGTTTTCCCAGCACCACTTGTTAAAGAGGTTGTCTTTTTTCCATTGTATATCCTTGCCTCCTTTGTCGAAGATAAGGTGTCCATAGGTTCGTGGATTTATCTCTGGGCTTTCTATTCTGTTCCATTGATCTATATTTCTGTCTTTGTGCCAATACCATACTGTCTTGGTGACTGTGGCTTTGTAGTAGAGCCTGAAGTCAGGCAGGTTGATTCCTCCAGTTCCATTCTTCTTTCTCAAGATTACTTTGGCTATTCGAGGTTTTTTGTATTTCCATACAAATTGTCTCACAACCTTTTACCTCTTGTCTGTCACCTCCCTTCCTTTCCTCTTCCCCTTCTACTTGAAGACCTTTTCCAGGCTTCCGTATCAGATCCATACGATGCTCCTGTGCTGTCACAGAAATTCTTACGGACACTGCAGATTCCAGGGAACAAATAAGGATTCAAGCATAAAATGAAATTATTTTTTTATTTTCTTTTTTTTTTCAATTAAATGAAAGCAGAGCCAGGTGTTTGGTTGTCTCAGGCAACAGGTAGTGTTTTTTTGAACATTATTATTAAGAAGAGAACAAGAATAAGAGTAAGCTGAAAGGAATTATTCTTAGACACGATAGATAGCCAAGTCCAGCATTACAAATGTGAAAAAATCCTCCATCTGTCTCCTTGTACTCTCTTGTTTCTCAGCCTAAAGGAAGCGTATACAGTTAACCAGACTCTGAAGCTCTTATGTTCAACATGGTAGCCCAAACTGTGTTGCTTTTTAAATTTTGTGTTCTTGTGCATAGCATAGGAACTTATTGAAGCAAGTTGGAATCAAAGGCTGGGTGCTCTTGGTTGCCATCTAACCCATATCCCTAGCCTTGATGCAACTGTACTGTAGTTCTGAGGGCTTCTTGACTTCACTGGGAAGGTGTTTACTCAGTTTTTCTTGGATAGATTATGAGTTTCTAAAAATATTCTTAACATTTATTCTGCTTCCTTGGAATAGTGCTGATACAACTTTCTGTGAGCCATTGGTATTTTTCCCTTAATGTTCTTGACATGTATACCTCTATATGCATTTTTCCTGACCAAGGCTATTGATAATAAGAGTATTCATAGGCCTTTCTGCCTATCTGTCTATATATGTGATTTTCCTATAGATTAAAGTTTGCCTTCTGGACACTATTTGGAATGGTAAATATTATTTTATAAGGACCCTTAAGGATAAAAATGTAATGATTTAAGGATGAGTGGTTTATTTCAGAATTTTTAAAACATCATCATATTGGGGAAGATAACAGATGTATGAAATATTTGAGGCCTCTGGCCATTAGTTTCTTATTTAGGGTCTTTTTTTCTTTCAGCATATATACGTTTCCATCTGATCTCACCTTTGATACAGAAGTCTGCAGCAAAGTAAGAAATTGTTCTCTTTTCTGGAAGATATATATATGTTTTTTAAATATTGAAAGACTTATTTCTGAATCATTATATCATTCTCTTTGTCAGTACTTGAGCTGTGCTCCTCATTTATGTGTTTTTTATGTGCCCAAAACAAATTATTTGTGTTAATCACTAAGGTGGAATTGTGGCTTCTCTGTCTCCAGCACTTATTTGTACTGGATTGAGAAAGTTCTTTAAAGATGAGCTTGGGTTAGCTTCCAGTATATAATGAGGACTAATGTGGTTCTGTTGACCTGTATTTTGAGACTGCCAAGGAGTCTGATTTTACTTTATTCTTAGCAAATTATTTACACGCTTATGTAGATAGCTGTATTGTGGGAGGTCAGAGGGCCTAAAATGTACCTGAATCATAGGAGGTGCTCAGGAAATTTTACTACATTTTTTCCTTTCTTTTGCCCCTTAACCTGTAAAATCCAGCCTTAAACTGACAAACAGCACTAACATTATTAATATCCAGTTTAAAAAGTGCATTACAGGACTTCCCTAGCCATCCAGTGGTTAGGACTCTGCATTTCCAATGCATCAGTCTCTGGTTCAATTTCTAGTTGGGAAACTAAGATTCCACATGCCACATGGCCCAAAAAAAAAAAAAAAGCATGACCCTCCTCTCTTCCCTCAGATTTTTAATTTGTCAATCAGAAAACCTAGGCCACAGGGATAGCCAGAGCATTTGGGCCAGTTGGTTTTCATGTATTTTACACTTATCCCATTGTGCAATATAAATATTATCATATTCTATGTGTGCATGACATGAAAAAGATAAGGAAACACTGCTGAAGGTGGGAGTTCTGTAATGCCCCTGTGAAACTGAGCCCTAGTAAGCTGTATTTACCTTTGAGCTCAGTTAGTATATAGAGTTTCACATTCTGGAGTAGTGAATTAACATCTTTATAAAAGTGAAGTTTCTTACTCTAAGTTGAAGCAAGTTTGTCTATTTATTGTCAGTTAATGATGCTATTTGCATTTTTATACTCTTAGTGTGGTCCTCTTTGATATCTTTGTCAATATCCTTACCCATAACCTTGCGGAACCAGCTTATGAAGCAGATGTGGCACAGCTGGAGTATAAGCTGGTCGCTGGAGAACATGGTTTAATTATTCGAGTGAAAGGATTCAACCACAAACTACCTGTAAGTACAGTGCTCTGATTTCTTTGCAGACAACTTTAAAACTTCGTATTTGTTTGTTGTGCCTATAGCACCAAACATAGAGATTTGTGCATGAAGTGCTGTATATGAAAATAAATATGTATTAATATAGATGATTAGGTTTTTTTGACTGATGGCAGGTATTCCAACTTTGGCCACATATAAGAGCAGCATATATTCTTTAATTAATTGCATTTATTAGGCTTCCCTAGTAGCTCAGCTAGTAAAGAATCCGCCTGCAATGCAGGAGACCCTGGTTCGATTCCTGGGTGGGGAAGATCCCCTGGAGAAGGAAACAGCTACCTGCTCCAGTATTCTGGCCTGGAGATTATGGTTTTTTTGGCTGATGGCAGGTATTCGGACTTTGGCCACATATAAGATCAGCATGTATTCTTTAATTAATTACATTTATTAGTGTTGTATGCATTAGTAATAGATACAGCACAGCCTGTGCTTCAGACATGATTACACTCCTCTTGGCTGTCAATTTCTCTGCAGCCAACACTGGCATTTAGGACTTGTTTGAGTGTAATTGGGCTTCCCTTGTGGCTAGACAGTAAAGAGTCTGCCTGCAATGTAGGAGACCTGAATTCTCTCCCTGGATTGGGAAGATCCTCTGGAGAAGGAAATGGCAACCCACTCTAGTATTCTTGCCTGGACAACTCCATGGACAGAGGAGCCTGGCGGGCTACAGTCCATGGGGTCACAAAGAGTTGGATACGACTGAGTGACTATCTCTTTCTTTTCTTTTTTGAGTGTAATTTCATGCCATAGTGCAAGGACAGATTTAAAACACCTGATATGTTCCCTGATGCCCTGATGAAGAGTAGAACTCAGATGTCTGTGTTCTTTCTTTGTCTTCTTACAGTCTTTTCCATTGTTTCAAGTATGTGCGTCTTGTTCCCTTCTAAGTTTATGACTCTTAAGAAACAGAGTTTATATCTTGTTAGTGATTTATGTTTTGGTAAAGAATATGTTTCAGTGTCATTTGTCAGTACTTCATAAGTAAAGGAAGAAATACCAAGTACCAGGTAAAATAATGTACCCAACAACAAATTTTATATGTTGGTTTCTTGGGTAGAACATATATTAACATTTGGGGAATTGGGTTCATCTAAGAAAAAATCTGGAGGAGAGGACCTGGTAGTAATTAGACCTGTGCCAAGAGGTGATGGCCTCCATATCTTAGCAAAAACCCTAGAAAAGAGTATAGTTTTCTCCTTTATACCCTCTTACCTGTCAGTCTCTCCTGAGAACAAAAATTGTTCTTAGGAGGAGACACATGGGATCTTTTAGTAACCTTCAAAAGCGTAAATATAATGTAGCTTAAAATCCAAACATATTAAAGCCAATTACAGTAGTTGTCATTTGGTAGGTATGTTTTGGAATTACCTGGAGAGCTTTTTAGAAATACAAACCATAGTATTTGAGGTTCTTCACTTTATGAAGCTTACCTACTGTAACATTAAAACTTGTTATAAATACTGTAGATACATATATAAAACTAGAGATCATTTACACCTATGAAATACAGAGGCAAGCATTCTAAAAACTTGAAAGTTCAAGTTCAAATATAACAAAAAGAATAATTCACCATGACTAGTGCCAGCAAAGCAGAGTTGGTTGTTCAGTTTTACGAAGTTGTTATAAATCATTATAACACAAGTCAGTTGAGAAACACTGTGTGAATATAGTGATGATGAACATAAATCATATCAAAAGTCAGTTGAGAAACACTATATGAATATAGTGATAAATGCCCCCAAAATTATTTGATAAATTTGAGTTGTCATTCCTGGTAAGTAGGAATGGAGGGAGGTTACTCAACCACAATAAAAATCTTAATTAAAAGAAAAATAGCAGATGTTCTACTAACTGATGAAATCCTGAACATTAAAATTAGGAACAAGCCAAGGATACCCACGATCACTTCTATTACTCGACATTATTTTTAGAGTTTCTGGCTACTACATTAAAGTGAAAAAATAAAAACACCTGGAAGAGAGAAAGCATTTTTCTTTGCAAGATACTACTAGAATTTAAAAAAAAATTTGTGATATGACTCATCATAAGACCAGTATATATCAATGGCTCATTTTCCTATAGTGCAATAACCACTTAGAAATGGATTGGGAAAAAATATGCCACTATACTATTGAGAAAAATAATCAAATATGTAAGAATAAAGAAGAAAAGTACAGAACCTATCTAAAGAAAACTAAATCTTTTTGAAGCATATAAAAGATTTTAAGGGAGAAGACTTCACATGTTTCTGGATAGCACAGGTTGATACAAAGTCATTATTTCCTAAATTACCTTCTCCCAGTTAAAATCAAATTTAGGAAAAAAAATCAAATTTAGGGGCAGTGGAGATGCTTGATAAAATTATTTTTAAGTTTAATTGGAAGGAAAAATGTTTTAAAATACCTCTGAAAATTATAAAAAATATTCCTTCAGATTTTATAATTATTGAGAATTTTCGCTCCTAAAAATTCTTTGAGGGAGGGGCTTCCCTGGTGGCTCAGTGATAAAGAATCCACCTGCCAGTGTAGGAAACACCAGTTTGATCCTTGATCTGGGAAGATCCCACATGCCCTGGAGCTTGTGTGCTACAACCATTGAGCCTGTGCCTAGAAGCCGGGAGATGCACCTGCTAAGCTCACATGCCGCAACTGCTGAAGCCCCTGCATCATAGCCTGTGCTCCACAGCAAGAGAAACCACCGCGTTGAGAAGCTGAGCACCATCACTAGAGAGTAGTCCCCACTCATTGCAACTAGAGAAAAACCTATATAGCAATGAAGACCCAGCACAGCCAAAAATAAATAAATGTATTACTGGGAAAAAAAAAAAAAGGTAGCTAGTGTAGCCATGAGTTAAGGAAAAAAGAAAAATTCTTTGACTCATTAGTACTTATGTCCCACACAATGCCTATTTTATCATATTGAACCCCTGGTAGAAACCAATGGGAAACAGTTTTCCCCCTAAAAATCAGTGGATTTACATGTTTCTCCACTTAAGGTGTTTCTTTCTTTTCTTCTTAGCTACTATTTCAGCTTATTATTGACTACTTAGCGGAGTTCAGTTCCACACCAGCTGTGTTTACAATGATAACTGAGCAATTGAAGAAGACCTACTTTAACATCCTCATCAAGCCTGAAACTCTGGCCAAGTGGGTATACATGGGATCAGCTTATATTTTGAAGGCCTAAAACTATTTGCCTTCCTTGGAATTACGTGTGGGGAGTGAGGCTATTGTTCTAGTGCTAATTCAGATGTGATAGAATTGTGCTGTGTTTTAGGAAACTAGCCCATAGAATTAGAGAGTTTCTAAACTCAGTGTAAGTAGTTATTGGTGAGGAGGACTGCAGGCAGTCTGCTATACTTAATTAGAGGCTAAAGGTTTTAAAAGAGTGTTTTTTCCTAGTTTCTTAGTAAAAAACAGTTCAAAAAGTGCTTTGTTGTAGCTCAAAATTGCTTAGTGTATTGGATGTTATGATAAGTAGCTGAGTTAAATTGCCTAACAGGTCATTTATCTGACAACTGCAACTATCCAGAATTCAGCCAGGTTACAGAACAGAGCAGAAATGCTTCTGGACAGTCTGTATGCTGATGCTTAAGCCCTCTGCTTATAGGCAACCGTCTTGGGCCTTTCACCGGAATCTGTTCTTTAATCCAGGGCCAGTGGTAGCTTATTGGGTACCTTTGTGTGAATCAGAAAAAAGTACACTCTTGGGGTAAAAAGCCTCTGTCAGCAGGTAGAGCCTTTGTGGGAGGGGGGGAGAAAGTCCCCTCTGAGCAGATACAGCCCTTTATGCACATGGCTTGCAAGCCCCTGCTTGACCTGTTTGTTGGGCATCTATAAATACCCTGCATTAGACATAGTTATAATGAGACCATAAATGGCCAAAATTCGAAAGCAGGGGAGGGAGTAGTTAAGAATCAGACATGAGACATGTAATAACATAATCTGATCACAAAAAGTTATAAAAACTAATAACCAAATATAAGTGGAAAGGAGAGTTGTCTGGAACTATAGTCTGGAACTGTATGATGAAAAATAGCCCCATATATCCTATAACTCCTGAATACTACTTTGTTAAAATGTGGTAGAGTAATAATACTTGTTTGTTGAAGATTTGGTATGTGTTAGATCTAAGAACTTTGTGTCTTTTTTAAATTCTCACCAAAACTGATAATAGTATGGCATTTTTATTTCCCTTGTTTTACAAATGAAATTGAGTCACAAATGTTAGGTAACTTGGCCATATTTAAACAGCTTACTGTGTGGGAGGGGCTTAGTCTGATTCTCGCCTAGAGCCAGTTATGCTGTATTGTCATTGTAGTAATAGATATTATACATGATGGTCACTTCCAGTAATGAATAAATGCTAGTGAGATTTGAAACTAAAATAGTAATATTAAATTGGTTTGTGACTCATTTGGCAGCTTGTGTGAAATGTTTAATTTTGCAATTGAAACAGATAAGTTTTACCATTGAGCTAATAATCTATGTAATAGTCTATACATGCAGTATTAAATGCTTTTTGGGGGTTATAACATTGTTTCCCTATCTTAAGTAGTGATAGAAATTGTCTCTTTAAAGAAACACATCATCTATAGAAACTTAACTCAATCCTGTACCCTTAAGATTCATTTCTTACAATGAGACTTTTTTCCTGCTCTCTGTAGAGACGTTCGGCTTTTAATCCTGGAGTATTCCCGTTGGTCTATGATTGATAAGTATCGCGCTTTGATGGATGGCCTTTCCCTTGAGTCTCTGCTGAGCTTCGTCAGAGAATTCAAAGCCCAGCTCTTTGTTGAGGGCCTGGTACAAGGAAATGTCACAAGCACAGTGAGTGTCAGGGTTCTGTTGGTACAGGCCAGGTATGAATGCTGTTCTGTGCTCTGGAATTCTATTAGTTCTTCCCTAAAGGGGGAAGCTCTGTAGTTTTGGCAGTCCAGCATCATCACAGTCTGTTTAGAAGGGAACTTGGCCCTTTCAATGCTGGATAAGACTTTCTTATGAAGGAGACTTCTGGTATTGGACCGAATTTTGAGTTAAATGGGTTTGGTAAATACATGGTATTGGTTACATTTGTTGATGATCATGGAAACTACAGACAGTTTAATAGAGATTAAAGTGGGAGCTGGGGAGGGCTGAGGGGTATACGTATATATACATCATTCACTTAGTATCAAGTATATTCTGTTGCTCACTCCATGCCAGGCTCTGTATTAATTGATCCAGGTTTCTAAAACACAGCCTAGTGGGGTAAACCAGACAACTAAGTTTGATCCCGCAGTGGAGAAAGTTTCACAGTGGACAGTAAACAAAGCACCAAGGGAGAACAGAAAAGGAGCCACTTCAGTTGAGAGCCACTTAGTATTCAATAAACATAATCAATATTGAATCAATGAATGATAATCTCAGTGAATGAATAATAAACCCAGTGAATGAATGATCAGCATTTTGGGTGACAGACTTTATCTGCTTTCCTAATGCATTCCAGGGCTTCCCACGCACTTAGAACATTGGTATTAGTTGGTTTGGGGTGAAATTAATGTCAGTAGAGCCTGATATAGCTATTTTCTTCTCTTTCACTTCCTAGGAATCTACAGATTTCCTGAAATATGTTGTTGAGTGAGTATTGGTCTGAGTTTTCTCTTTAGGAGTTATGTGTTCTTAATAGCAAGAGGACCCTGAGACCAAAATTCAGTTGTTACTAAATCCGTAATGGAAATGCTTCTTGTAGGTATATTTGAGGTTAGTTATATAAACAAAGCAATTCAGTAGGCAGAGTGGAGGCCTGACTTTCCGTTTTGGGGGCAGGAGGAGGAGGATGAAGGCTCCACCTCGCTGACCCATGCTGATTGTTTTGCAGCAAGTTGAACTTCATGCCTCTGGAGCAGGAGATGCCTGTGCAGTTCCAAGTGGTGGAGCTGCCCAGTGGCCACCACCTGTGCAAAGTGAGAGCTCTGAACAGGGGTGATGCCAACTCTGAAGTCACTGTATATTACCAGGTCAGTGGCCCCTTTGCACAAAGCTGTCCTCATGGCTGTGTCTTTTAGACACTAAAGACTGGTGAAAGGACCACAGTGTCTGGGAGAAGTGATCCTATGCTCTTCAAGGCCTGTTTGTGGTTACACTGTGGTTTTATGCTTGGGGTCATGTGTCCTCTTGAAGCAATTACATTTAAAAACTGCTCCTGTCAGTGAAATGGATCCTTTTTCAATCACAGTGCTTTATTAATCACCCAGCCACTAGTCCAAAGGGACAGAACTGAAGTATGGCTAGAAATTCCTACATATTCACCAGTCAGGACTCTAGGGAGCAAGAGGACATTTGTTAAAAGGACAGTTTTGAAATATGACCAAAGTAAACATATTCAACCAACATACAGCAAATAGAATGGCTTCCAGAGTCATAATGAATATTTTCAAAGCACCTGAGAGAGAGGATTTATCGCCTCTATTTTATGTATGATAAATCTGAGGTCCTTCACTTACCTGAGGTCATACCAGCTGGAGTTCAAGTTTATACCTTCTGTCTTCAAATCCTGTGTGTTTTCCACAGCATTCTGGAGAGATGTGATCATGCTTAAAATAAGAAAGAGCTTTGCAGTGATCTTGATTGGTCCATAGACTACGTTAGCCTGTGGTTGGTCCAACTCACTTTTAGGATGATGGGGACCTCTGTCTGTTTAGACTGATCTCAGACTTCCCAAACTCTGGGGCTCTTCTATCTGGTGCTTTGGCCCTGGGTTTTCTACATGAGGAAGTCACTTCTCTGACCTCGTGAAGATCTCTGGCCTGGGCTTTGGGCAGGACTCCATGGCCTCACTTGTCACCTAGTCCTTTTCTTGTGTTTCTGGCCCTGAATCTTTGCCTAGAGGTCCAGCTTGTCTGTAGAGCCTATTTTCCTCTGCAAGTCCTTGACTTTGGGTTGTGAATTGGTGTGTTTTGGGCAGGAGCTGGCCGGTCAGGGATTACTGGACTCAATTCTATGTCTGCCTGCAGTTCTGAACTAGGGCTGGGAATACAAATCATTATGCATGATTCCCATCTGCACACACCTCCTGTTTTGTGGGAAGGCAGGAAGTATAACAATAGAAGGTATGAGGGTTGGGGGAAGAGAAGAGTAGGGTAGTAACCTGAATAAATGGTTGTCAAGAAGAGCTGTATTTTTAAAAAGGCTTGTAAGCCATTGGATTTTCAGATGGTCTGATCAGCTTCTCCTCTCAGTCAGGTGCCAGGAGTCTGAAAGAATACACTCTTATGGAGCTGCTTGTGGTAAGTTGTATAAAGGAAAGCCCCAATACTCGGGAACCCCTGGCTCACTGTGAGGACTGGTCTGTCTACCTGGGGGCTGGGGACCTGGGAGTGGTCAGAGATCTGTGGTTTGCAAGTGAGCTGGTTGTTGAGCATTTTTTACCTAGTATGAGCCAGGATAATGGGCCTGGGCTATTTAAGAAGGTTCAGTAAGGGAGGCTGGACTCTGGGGTCACATGTAACACTTTTGGGGGAAGAAATGGAGGTTTCTTTGCTGGGAGGAGTTGAGCTGATAGGCAGTATGTTGAATTACAGATGCATATGGAAGAGCCTTGTTTTGACTTCCTTCGAACCAAGCAGACCCTTGGGTAAGTCTGCTGGCAAGAGCACTGAGCTCAAGTAAGATCTGGGGCTTGCTTAAGTCGATCAGCTGTACTGACTCAACAGTCTCTCAATGCTCTTTGGTCCTCCCAGACCTTAAGAGTCATACCTACCAAGTCATACTCAGTAGAGTCATACTGTCAAAACTTTTGCAGTTTGCATCTTCGACTATGATCAGGCTGTCAGTTTGGTCAAGTTTCAAGATTAGCAGAAGAGGCTGGCCTGTGGTCCTCAGTGCGGGAGAGGGGTGGATACCCTAACCCAAGAGTGAACATCTATGGATCCTCTTCCAGGGCCTCTGGGGTCCAGTAAGGATGGGCAGAAACCCTTCCCACTGCTTTCTAGCACCTCCAAGGACAGGGTACAGATGAGCACCTGAGCTCATAGAACTTTTCACTCTGGCCATAGGTACCATGTCTACCCTACCTGTAGGAACACATCTGGGATTCTAGGCTTCTCTGTCACCGTGGGGACTCAGGCAACCAAATACAAGTGAGTAAACAAGTGAGATAAAGGGCCCAGCTATCGGTTTTCTTGGTGAAGAGAATAGGGGCTGCATCCTTGCCCTGACCATTTGTTTCCCATTTAGTCACAGCTGCAGTGGGTGGCTCATATATGGCCTGGTCCAGGACTTACCAGTGGGTTTGTAGGGTTTGACTCAAGTCCTATGGTGACTGTGCAGGGCTTGCCACTGCTTCCTCTTTTCAGGCATATCTGAGGACAAGAAAGGCAGATGCCTGACATAGCATTCAGGCTGGAAGCAAGGTACAAGGCCTTGTTCGCCCTCAGCTTTGAAATGGTCAGCATGGCTGTCTACTGCTTCCTATGAGGATACCAGGGAATTGGGCTAGAAGTGGAGTAGGGGTAGGGGTTCTTCAAATGTACGTTTCCCTCCCACAGCTTAGGGGAGAATATCACTTCAGCCTCTTTCCTGGAAATATGCCTTAGACCCAATTCTCTCCTTTGCCTTCTGCTCGAGACCTGGTCAGTGATGACTTAATGGAAGATGTTTTATTTTAGCTCTGAAGTTGTTGATAAGAAGATAGAAGAGTTTCTTTCAAGCTTTGAGGAGAAGATCGAGAACCTCACTGAGGATGCATTCAACACCCAGGTGATTGTGCTGGCTTGGTCTTTTTGTTTGTTGGCTCACCCAAGCCCTCATGACACCAGTCTTAACAGTACTGTGTGTTGGGTTCTTGAGCTTTGTTCAGTTCAGTTGCTCAGTTGTGTCTGATTCTTTGCGACCCCATGAATCGCAGCATGCCAGGCCTCCCTGTCCATCACCAACTCCCAGAGTCTACCCAAACCCATGTCCATCGAGTCGGTGATGCCATCCAGCCATCTCATCCTTTGTCATCCCCTTCTTCCCCTGCCCAGCATTAGGGTCTTTTCCAGTGAGCCAACTCTTCGCATGAGGTGGCCCAAGTATTGGAGTTTCAGCTTCATCATCAGTCCTTCCAATGAACACCCAGGACTGATCTCCTTTAGGATGGACTGGTTGGATTTTCTTAATCTGACCACGTCTTCCTAGTTCCATCCCTCGCCATCATGCTGGCAGGTCCATCACAAATTAGACAGGGTTGAGTGTGCTGAGAATATTTGTGTGATGCCATGCCTGAGAGCATCTTTTTGACGGTAACAGGTCACAGCTCTGATCAAGCTGAAGGAGTGTGAGGACACCTACCTTGGGGAGGAGGTGGACAGGAACTGGAACGAAGTGGTGACCCGGCAGTATCTCTTTGACCGCCTTGCCCATGAGGTAGCAACATGGTTTTCAGAGTATGACAGCTGTGACAGGGATTGTTTATTTAACAGGAGACACAGTTCTAAGCAAGTTAGTATTGTGTGGAGAGACTGGGGGCACTCATCTCAGGTTGGTTATTTACTTGCCCATTTCTTGATGTGATTAAATTACATCTTGTTTCCAGACTGACTACTGTAGTGCCTCAGGTGGTCAAGTGAGCAGGATGCTGGGTATTCTTACTCTTTTTCTTACTCTTGCTCCCCCAATTTCATCAGATCCACTTTTTAAAAAATTGAAGTACAGTTGATTTACAATGTTGCAAAGTGATTCAGTTATATTTTTTTTCCTTTCATTTTTGTATTATATATTCAGATTCACTACAAGGTTTGGGAGAAAAACAGGTTCTGCTAAAGAAAATTGCGAACTTCTGGTGTTTATGAAGTTCCCTCTCCAGATTTAAGGATTCTGTGTGTAGGTCTTTGTGACAACTTCCAGCCCCAAGTAATAAATCCCATTTAAATGAGCTCTGAGTCCTACAGTCCAGTGCTCTGATACTATAACCCTATGTGGTGAATTACCAAAGGACATTAAAGCAGAGGGGTATTTAACACAGAGGCTTCATTCAGCCCAACTCTTGAGGTTCTGCAGTTTTCCTGTTAGAAGCCAGAGGGTAAATACTTACCATGACACTAAGGTGTGCTGGGTTTGACTCCTTGTACAGTACTTAGCTGTAGTTAGAGAATCTGCTATTCTCTCCTGCTTATTATCTGCCAGTCAGTCAGTGCTAAGAAATATGAAGGTAGTCAGGCGCATTTGTATCTTTATCTGGAAGGCTTGGAGCCAGCTCAAACATGTTAAAATAGTGTGCTTACAATAAGCAGGACCAAGGAGGTCTGCCTAGGGTGTTATGTTTAATAACTATCTTTGCAGAAATATACTGCTAGTTTTTTATAGCTTTCTTTCATATCTTCCCTTCTCCCATTAAGATTGAAGCACTGAAGTCATTCTCAAAATCAGACCTAGTCAACTGGTTCAAGGCCCACAGAGGACCAGGAAGTAAAATGCTCAGTGTTCACGTGAGTATTGTTCTGAGCTGTAGCTCTCCCTTTCCAGGCCTGTCATTCTCGCCCACTTACTGAGTTTGGGTTGGTGTCCTAGATCCTACTAGGTCTCTGCCCAAACGTGGTCGGCATTCTCTCTCACCTCAAGTCTTTGGCCTTTTTCAGGTTGTTGGATTTGGGAAGTACGAGCTAGAAGAGGATGGTACCCCTTCTGGTGAGGATTCAAACTCTTCTTGTGACGTGATGCAGCTAACCTACCTGCCAACTTCTCCTCTGCTGGTAGACTGTACCGTCCCCATTATTGATATCAGGGGTTTCACATCAAGACTTAACCTTCTCCCCTACCATAAAATAGTCAAATAAACTGCAGTCTCATTGGCCTGAAGCACTGTGCATTTAAGTGTTTGAATTTTATGAAGTTACACTACTACTGCCTTAGGGCTTCCATTGAATTTTTGCACTGGCATCATAGAATTTGATTTACTACCCTCCCCCTTCCGTTGTGACTAACAGACCAAGGGTCACCATAGCAGCTGCAGAGATAAACGAGCAGGGCGGGCCAAATGTAACCAAAAAGCTTGCCGGAGCAGTCTTGAGATGCCCTGGCCTGTCCTGGTCTTCTCAGATTGAGAATTCAGTTCTGTGTGACTGCCTTGAGAGGCCCTATGTAACTAGTGTCTTCTTAGTACCTAAATGCCAGGTGCTAATACCTGTGTTGTTGTTTTTAATGTATTTAAAAATAAAGATTAATTCTGTATTGCCCTTCAGAATGAGCCATTTGCTGCTGTGACATTCCTTTTATTATATTTTATTTCAATGTGGGGTGGAGATCTAAAAATAAACATTCTTCCCAAATTCTCTAAGGCAATAAAATATTTTTGGATAAAAGGTTGGTAGCCCTATGTGTACTATTTGAGAGTTCAAGTAAAACAAGAATAGCATGGTGGGGGCTACAGACAGAACAGAGGAGTATAAGGAAGGGACAGGATGGAGCGACCCCCTTCATTATTCAGAATGTCCCTGTAAAAAGCTAGCCCCTGTATTCAAGGTTGCCAAGTAACTGGGTCCAAGTTTAATCATAAAAATAATAAGCACATTAAAAAAAAAAGGTTGGAAAAATTACTTTATGAAGCCTTAAGCATTGAGTATAATTAAACCATAGTCCAAAGTTAGATACAATAATAGTTCAATTCCAAAATAAAAGTTATTATAGGTGAGACCATGAAACTTCCTAACATGTGATTTTAATACATTTCACTAAATTTTCTAAAACAACTCAGAGGAACTGCTATTTACAGTAAATGAAGTATTTATGAAAAATCTGGCATCAGCTATATTATATATATGTATATAGGTATATATAGAACCCAAGATTATATGAACTATGAAACAGGTTGTATTGTATATCTCAACAGCAGTACTAGAATGCAGAGTTTAAGACTGGGATTTATACCGTGGGATTTGGAAAAGGAGCAGACATTTTGTTTTCAAAACCTGAAGTTTTTCTCAAGACCAAAATCAACGTTGTAACTGCCACAGACAGGAAAAAGGGAAGCTTTGCTTGCTTTAATTGTTCATCTGCATCAGAAAGTCCAGTATCCCTGAGATAGGAACCACTGCAATAAGAAGGGAGTGAATAGGTTCTCCCAAAGGAAGATTGTTGCTTAATTATGCCTCCTGCCCTGGAACCAGGAGCAAACTTTGTGTTTCCCAACCTAATGCTTGGCAGCACCGAGACGCTTCAGTAATGGTTCATCATAAACCCAGCATTCTCCATCTTCATGAAACAACTGTTAGAGAAAGGGGGAAAATTCAGTTACACATTTGTTTTGTACTTCTATATCATACTTTTAATTATTTGATGTGCTCCCCCCCCCAACAGTGAAATAAATATTCATCTCATTTATCACCATGCTTATTTCGTACTTCAGTATTCACTGAAATGAATGAATGACAGCTCGGGGAACAGCAGCTAGCAGACCGAGGCAGGCTCCCCAAAACAAACTTACCCTTGTCTCCCACTGAATTTCCTTTTCCTTCCTTTCTCGGGCTTCTGCTCTTTGTCTTTCTTCAAGTCTATGCTTGGCTTCAGTTGCTGCATCAATGTCTCTGATTTTTAAGTTGAAAGTGACATCCTTCCAAAGGCTAAAGAAAAGAGGTGAAGGTGCTAAGTACTTGGTGGAGAAAGGAGTTAGCAATTTGAAAATGAAAGGCTAGAGCCATCTAGAACATAACGTAATTACAGTACAAGTCAAATGGCTTTAAATGTAGTTCACAGACTAAATCTCCTTAGGCTGACACAGGGCACAGGAGTAAAAAACAGAAACAGACTCGGAAGATCCCACTGCTGGTTGTCAAAGAAGGAAATAAAGCATGTGCAGAAAGCTGTATATATGGTTGGGACGAGAGGAGAAAGATCAACTGAGACTACTTTTCGCTGTACCTCTAAATTAGCGATGCGACCTTGGGGCTGTCAGTTCACCTCTCTAGGGCGTCAGTGTCCCCTTATAATAAATAAGCTCAGGGAACAGCAGTTTATATTAAATAAACTAAACGGGAGATGAGAGGAGCTGAGACGTTCCATTTCATAAAGACTCCCCTGGAATGAATGAATCTGGGAGAAGCAGTTTGAATATAGAGTAAGGGTCAAGAGAAGCATTGCAGAGGCTTAAAGCTGGGGGTGGGGGGAGGAGATCTGGCTTCTTCTCAAGGCCTGGAAGATGGTAATTTGGACCAGGCTTTTCTAAATGAGGATGCATAAGGATTAGAAAAGTAGCCATCCTAAGATCCCCTCATGTGAGCAGCAGAGCGTCAAAGTCTATAGATTTCCACTTATAACTATGAACAAGCATCCAGGCAAATAAGACTGTTTATTCTTCCAAGTTTTTAAGTTTTTTAAGACCTAAAGATGTTTTGAGATGTATCTATATCTGTATATACAGATAGTCTACAAAGATGGTGATAAGCCAACATCCACTTGATACTTATCATATGTCAAGCATCATACATGGGCTCCATCTACATCTCATTTAGTTCTTGTAGCAGTGCTGAGGTGGTTTCCATTTCAGGAAAGGATGCAAAGACAGGTTAGCTTACAGTCAACGTTACAGTGCAAGAGGGGGAGCACCGTATGAACCCAGGCATTCAGACTCCACCTGTGCTGTTACACCCTGCTATGCAGTCTGCAACCTGGCCCTGCACCTATGCCTGGCCAATAGCAACAGCATTGCTGCTATAGTTATGTTGTCGCCTTACCAGCGGGATTCGTACTCATTCTGATCTTCCAGCTTCCTTACTTTCTTTTTAATTATAGGCAACTTCTTGGTATCTATAAAAACTACATTTTCCTAGAAAACAGAAAAGGTAGGTAGATGTTTTATTGTTCACAGTGTTCTAAGAGAAAAAGCCAACTCTTCTCATTAACAGATTTAATAATGAAACCTCACAATATGTTAGTGATGTAGACAATGAGTTCCATATGCAACCTAAAGCCTAAATTATTTAAGTCTTGGTAAAGGCTCTTGGTAAAAATAGGTATTTTCAATGTAGCTATGTGTTGGGATGTAACATGATTGGGATGTAATATCTTGGACTAGCTAAACAACTAATCCTAATGTTAAGTACTCTGACCACTTTTTCCCATATATTATTCCTGAGTATCTTAAGGGGACAGGAAAGTAAAAATCATTCTATTACCTGTACTGCTGGGGAAAGGTGGAAGAAGGAAAAGGCTTGGCTTTAAGAGATGGCATTAGAGCTCATCTTGGTGGTTAAAATTTCCAGATGAAGGAAGCCAGAGTAAGGGACAGGCTACGATTCAATGAAGCCTAAAAACAAGTGGCAAAACACATGTTCTTACCCCTGTTGAGTATTTTGCATACATTACACCATTCCACTCCCCTTCAATGGAGCAGAAAGACTTCTTGTCATTTGGAGAACTACATTAAAAACAAAAAAACAAACATTAAAATACATTTGTATCAGTCTCAAATTGAAATTTCTCTACCAAAGAATCTTGTCAGTTGTGGCCTACCTACCCAGAGCAGAACACAGAAGAGCAACTGTAAAGGTAGATTAATAAAACTGGTTTATTTGTGAAGGCAGATTAATTAAACTGGTTTTCTCAGAGCCAACTACAAGAATTAATGCCCTAAAGATGCTGCTAATGGACTCAAGATCCCAGAAACTGTGGGTATGAGAGTTGTTAGGTGCTGGGACCACAGCAGACTACAAACTCGAGCTCTTCGCAGTCTAGTGGGGAGACACTGCCACTGAAATTCTGGGTGCCAAGTGCTATTACATCCAGGGGACCACACACAGGAGATCAAGGGCAACACTGTTACGATGAGGGTCAGCGAAGGCGTTGCTTAAGGATACAATGATGGAGACCAGACTTTCATCTTCAGGCTGGGCCATAATATTAAGATGTTATCTAAGGAGCCCACCAAGCACTCTTTCAGAAGGCAGTTTATTATAAATTACTGTGACTGGCCAAAAAATCTGCTAGCAATTCCTCTTGGTGCTGGTTGCTGTAAGGAACTCTGAGAAGCAGGCCCACCCATGTTTTTGTTCTGGACATCCTTTTTCTCCCGCCTGCCTGTCTGAGGGGGGCACTCACATTATAGCAGTGAATTGTGCTGCTCCCTAAGCTCTGTCCCTATTTCCTGACTGCAGTAATATTTTGGATTTTACAGTGTTCCTTAGTAAACTACTTTTGTTCATGGTCCCTTCCTCCTTCCTTCCTTCCAAGAATTTTCTGGATGTTGACTCCATCATCAAAATTAAATTATCTCCCTAAAAAACTAGTTAACCAATCCTGTGTCGGCCATCTGCAACACTGCTCCCAGTGAGGCCTCTGAGGACAGAGAAATCCCTGCAGGGTCTCCTTGTCTAGGCAGGCTCTGAACCCAGCTGACTGCTGACTCGGGACAGCCCAGCCATCTTCATCTAATCCTGGAGCATCAAACAGAACCAAAGATAACAATGGTTACTGTTTTTCCCCAGCAAAGGCACACAAAAAAACAAGGACTACAAGGGCTTTGAGACACTACCTACCCACAGGGTCTCCTGTATGGACAAGCTCATGGTCCAATCCAGCAATAATGAGTTAGGCATACATAATCTGGGTTAGCTAGGAGATCCAGGAAGACTCCTTAAGTTTCCTATTTGCAAGTCAGGTTCCTAGGAAAGAAATCCCACCAGTGACCTCAGATTGTTCTTAGGTCTCCCTTCTGAGATGGGATTTTAGGAAGAGACACAGCATGTAAAATAAGTTTACAAAGACAGGACCATTAAAATGGTCAATTTTTGATGGAAATTATAGTTCAAGACAAAAGGAAAACTATTTCAGAGATGCAGAAGGAGCATCGAAGCAGAAAAACAAAATACCTACAAAATCTCAGCAGTAATTCTGTGCTTCTTGCCCCCATAGAAAGGTTTAGTGTGGAAGACGATATTTGCACTATAGCCAGTTTTGGAACAATTAATATTGCATTCTCCGCCTAGTTCCACCCAGGGCACTGTGAGGATAGACCTGCAAAATCAAAAGTTACAGTAAGGCTGACAGTTCAGAGGAAAGAAAGGAGGGGCACAACTTAAACAACAGCAGGGTCTACTGCTTGCGCATCAGAGAAACGGACCAGATCTACTTGCCTGCCATAACCATTGGGGAACGTGAGAATGTAATGTTCATCATGCTCGAGACACGAGACACAGCCTGTGGAGAGAAGGGATGGAATCTCCATTCAGTTTAGGGATAATCACTCTTGCATCTCAACTTGGCTCTCACCCCCAACACAGTTGCGTCCCTGCACAAAATGACATCCAACCTGACTTTCTGGGGTCATTTCCTCTCACTAGACAGATGTCCGGCACACATAAGAATGACACAGAGTTCTCCCATTAACACTGTATGTAGTCCACCCAAAGCCCACAGACTTACCCTGCCCTATGTTGTGCACCCCAATTGACATGCCAAGGAATTTTGATTTGGTCCAGATATGAGCATTGAATTGTATCTTCTTATTAAAACACTCAGCATAAAAGGCTGAAACTGGAGAAGTTGTTTCAGTTAGTGCACTATATAGCCTCATTTTATTTATATACATACACACCTTAAACATACATGCCCCCCCACCCCCAACCCCCTTAACTCAGAGAAACTGGCTGCATGGGGAAAATCCTTTACCTTTCAAAGAACAGCCTTGAATGTGGTCAGGAATTACCCACCTGCCCTTTACACCGTTTCCCCCAGTGCAAGCCACTATTCAGGACCACATGGGGAAGAACTTCCTGAACCAGGAGGCCAATCCCAGGGCTTAAAAACAAAGGGTCTGTCTGTTCTGATCAGCAAGCATGCTGCTGCCCCAGTCCAGACCTGGACCCATACAGCATAATCAGTCTTAACATGGCATCCAGCATGCATTCTTTCCACTGTGCTAGGAACATACCATACTGAAACTACATCTGTTTTATATGAATTGTCTTCAGAGTTGCTGAGATCGCTACAGCACAGCTCATGATGTGAAAGATGACTTTAGAAGCATTAAAAGTTGGCTTCCCAATCCCTTCTTTTTATATTAATTAATCAGTGAAGCTAAGAGAGTCTTTGGAACTCATAACAGATATGACAAACCAATCTTCACAGGACTGGGAAGACACAGATAGCCAATAAACATGAGGACAGTGCAGAGACCTCAGTTATGGAGCTTTCTATGACCCTCTTTAGACAACAGTTTGAAAGTGGATGTAGCTGAAGAGCTCTGTCACTTACTGGGTGGATGATGAGAAACCTGCTCAGCCACAAACGTTACACTATTCTTGGAAACCCAGGGAACTGGTCCTTCTGAAACTAGCTCCTGCAAGCAAACAGAACATCATTTTCTTTTGATGTGGAAACAAACAACATGCAGAGAATCTAATAACTGGAGTCTGTCTCATAAGGTGGTTAAATGCTCTCTCCTCTACACTCAGAAAGCATCTCATATACAGTTTTCCCGCAGCACTTAATTACACTATTGGAATGACTGCTCTCTATAAGTCTCTCTAAGACATGCATGAAGGCAAGGATCATGTGCCAAACTTAGGGCCAAGCCTGGCACAGAACAGGTACTTATCAAGGTCTGCAAAATGACCAAGAACAGACACACATTGCTTGTGTCCTTAGTGTGTGTGTGCTCAGCTGCTCAGTCATGTGTGACTTTTTGCAGCCCCATGGATTGTAGCTTGTCAGGCTCCTCTGTCCATGGGATTTCCCAGCGAAGAATACTGGAGTGGGGTGCCACTTCCTTCTCCAGAGGCCACCTGGGAAGCAGGACTACATGTAATGCATCATTCGGAAAGGGAAAAATATGGAGAGTTACATTTACTGAGAGATTATTATGTGCCAACCACTGTGGGCTATGGGCTTATTTTTTCATCTCTTGAACTCAAGATTCTTTCTAACTCCCTATCTGACAGTCCACTTACATGTCTAAGAGACTTGCCATACGTTATATTTCAAATTGGGAGTTCTAGACTTCTCCCTCTCCAAATCCAATCCTTCCCTTTGTAGTAAATAGCACCAGCCCACATGCAAGGATTCATCTCTAACTTACCTCCCACAATCTAAAAGCTCTGGCTCCAAAATATAACTTGAATCAACTATTCTCCTGGAATAATGCCAAAGTGTCAATGGTTTCCTTGCTTCTATTTTTGCCTCTTTTCAATTCCTTTGCCACAAAATAATCATAATAACCTCTTCATTACAAAAATGAGTTCTTGATAAGTCATAAAATTATCCTTATGGTCCATGAGGACTTGCATGATCTTATTTCTCAATTTCTATCCTCATCTCACACCACTCTTTTCCTTTGCTCACTATATTCAAAACATGCTGATCCAACAACATTGTTCTTTTATGGGTGGTAAACATCTTTTAATCAGTGCCTTTACCACTATCATCTGCCACCAAATAAAATGAAATCTTGAATCAGTACATTAAGAACTAAGTACTAAGATACATGTATATTATCAAGTGTGAAACAGATTGCCAGTCCAGGTTTGATGCATAAGACAAGTGCTCAGGGCAGGTGCACTGGGATGACCCAGAGGGATGGGATGGGGAGGGAGGTGGGAGCGGGGATCAGGATGCGGAACACATGTAAATCCATGGCTGATTCATGTCAATGTATGGCAAAAACCACTACAATATTGTAAAGTAATTAGCCTCCAACTAATAAAAATAAATGAAAAAAAAAAGTAGGCTTCTCAAAATAAAGAACTAAGATAATTAAAAACATTAGTGGAGAACTCACCACATTCTCTTCAGTATCATTTGGTAGTGTCCAGTGACACTGAAAGATTTCACCCAAAATGGGGTTGTATGGCTTTTTGGCAACTGATCCTTTCCTTCCTGCGTGAAAGGCTGAGAGATACCACTTCACAACCTGAACCATTCGGTCTCTGGCATCCTTCTGGTCACTAATACTGCAAGGAAGAAAGATAAAATTTAACATCCTGTGTTTTGACAGTACCCTTCAAGCATGGTCCACCCCCAAAGCCAGGCTGAGAGGACCTAGGACCAGTAACCACCTCAGCTCCTTTTTAAAACTGAAGCATAATACACATAATCAAACATACCAGTCTCAGTTGTTTGGTTTCATGAATCTGAAAAATGCATATATCCATTTAATTAATCTTTGGTGTAAGGGAAATGTTCTATGTCTTGATTGTACTTAATAATGACATACAATCAAGATACAGAATATTTCCATTACCCCCAGGTTTCCCCATCCTCCTTTCCAAGCAATCCTCACCCCTTAACCCTGAGGCAAACACTGTTTCTGGTTTCCAGTACCATTAGTTTTGCTTTTTCCGTAACTTCATACTTGTTAGTGCACTGTTTAATTGCAAAACAGTTGGAGATTTTCTGTATGTATCTATGTTACTGATTTCTAATTTAATTCTTCAAAGATCAGTGGATATATTCCATATGGTTCCAATTATTTTAAATTTATTAAGTCTTCCTATTATATAGTACATCTTGATGAATGTTCCACGTGCACTTAGAAAGACTATGTTATAGTGTTTGGTAATGTTTTAGAAAGGTTAACTAGATCTTCCATAGTCCCACTGATTCTCAGAGGGGTGGGGAGAGGTGCCTGCTGTTCAATCAATTCCTGAGGGAGGAATTTCCAACTGTGATTGTGTATTTGTCTATTTCTTCCTTCAGTCAATTTTTGCTGCATATAGTTTGAAGCTGTTTTACATATTTACACTGATAAATTGACTCTTATGAAATAGCCCTACTTGTCTCTCATAATATTTCTTACCTTAAAAAGTATTTTTTGTCTGATATTAATACAGCAACACCGGCTTTGCTATGCTTAGTGTTTTACATGGTATCTCTCTGTCCATCCTTTTACTTTTACCAGCTAAGCCACAAGGGAAGACCTATCCTTTTACTTTTAACCAATCAAACAGAGTACACATCAATCTTTTTTTTTTTTTTTAATCCAGGCTTAAAAATCACTGTTCTCTTAAATGGAGTATATATGATAGTCACAGTTAACGTACTATGAATATAGCTGGGTTTAACTCTATCATCATGGCAATTGTTTTCTATTTGGCCCCTTTATTCTTTGTTCTATTATATTTCCTTTCCTCCTTTTTGGGAGAGTTAGAATTTTTAGAATTACATTTAATCGTATCTATTGGTGTTTTAGCTGTATTTCTATAGTTTTTAAATGGTTCCTTCTAGGGATCTAAATTCTCATACATAAAAATTATCCTTAAACCTCAAATCTATATAAAATGAATAACTGGTACTTTCTATTATCAATAAATGCTTACATTTTATTTGTTCAACTTTGTATGAATTTAAACAATGCCATATTTAATTTCTGCCCTTTGGGAAATGGTTAAATGAATCTCTTAAAATCCTCATTAAGAAGTTACATATCAGTGTCATCCAATGTGCCCACCCACTGTGAAACTTCGGTGATTTGTGTCTGGCTTTAGTAAATCACAGTCCAAGGCCAAGGAATGCAATCAGAGAAGACAGATTAGAACATCCTGTTACAAAGAAAATACTCCTGCTACCAGTGAAAAGCAATGTGAACTCACTCACCTCCTCATAAATCAAACCCACCTTTAGATTACTCCTGTCCTTTATACATATATCTAATACTGCAATTTTTGTATTTAAAATTTATGAATCAATCTGTAATCTGGACACTGGACTATAAACTCCTCAAATGCAGACACTGCAACTCTTTCCCTTTCCAGCTCATAATAAAGTGCTGACAAAAAGCTAGTGCTTTAGAGAAGTTTGTTAAACTCAAATAACTCAACTTCATCAGGATGTAGTATCAATAATTTGATAGTGATTACCAACTCCTAGATCAAAAAAAGCTCTGTAAATACTGGCTGCCTTACTAGTAGGTGCTCAAGATTTTTTAAGGTGTTCAACTTGGTTGCCTAACAGTATCAGCACCAGATAACCTAAGCAAAGAGGCATCTAATACAAACAAAAGATTCAATGCCTTTTTCCCTCAGAAACATCTTGAAAGGCAAAGGAATCTATCCTGCAAAGGCAGAAAGGTAATGAGTAACATCTTTAAAAAAGTGGAAGCTACTATATCAAGTCAAATACCTCACAAACAGGTCCGGATGAGCAAAAAAGTCTGCATACATTTCTAAAAGAGATCTTCTTTCAAGAATAAATGTTGGAAGAACTACCTGAAAAACAAACATATTTGACCCTTGAGAATCAAATTCCACTACAGATATATAAGACTGCTGAGCTGCATTTAAAAAGAAAAACACATAAATGAGAACAAAAAAAAAAAACTGATTCCAATCACAGTAACATCCACCAAGTACTGCCCAGGCATGCTTTTGATACCTACTTCTCAAACTGTTCTGATTCAGAAATGCCCATTAACCTGCCTAAGAGATGAAAGACAGAGATTCTGAATGTTCACATGTCACTTTCTCTGAGCAACCTCTCTTTGGCTCCCTGAATCAATAATCAAAATTTTAGCAATAACAACTATGCAGTAGCAACCCTTTGATATCTTTGACCTTCTGGAGCATCACATACACACATTATCTTATTAAATCATACAACCATCTTGTTAAGAAGAAATTATCATCCTTATTTTACAGTGGAGAAAGTTCAGTTCAGTTTTGTCGCTCAGTCGTGTCCAATTCTTTGCGACCCCATGAACTGCAGCACACCAGGCCTCTCTGTCCATCATCAACTCCTGGAGTTTACCCAAACTCATGTCCATTGAGTCAGTGATGCCATCTAACCATCTCATCCTCTGTCGTCCCCTTCTCCTGCCTTCAATCTTTCCCAGCATCAGGGTCTTTTCAAATGAGTCAGCTCTTTGTATCAGGTGGCCAAAGTAATGGAGTTTCAGCTTCAACATCAGTCCTTCCAATGAGCACCCAGGACTGACCTCCTTTAGGATGGACTGGCTGGATCTCCTTGCAGTCCAAGGGACTCTCAAGAGTCTTCTCCACCACCACAGTTCAAAAGCATCCATTCTTTGGCGTTCAGCTTTCTTTAGAGTCCAACTCTCATCCATACATGACCACTGGAAAAACCAGAGCCTTGACTAAATGGACCTTTGTTAACAAAGTCAAGTCTCTGCTTTTTAATATGCTGCCTAGGTTGGTCATAACTTTCCTTCCAAGAAGTAAGCGTCTTTTAATTTCATGGCTGCAATCACCATCTGCAGTGATTTTGGAGCCCCCCAAAATAAATTCTGACACTGTTTCCCCATCTATTTGTCATGAAGTGATAGGACCAGATGCCATGATCTTAGTTTTCCTAATGTTGAGCTTTAAACCAACTTTTTCACTCTCCTCTTTCACTTTCATCAAGAGGCCCTTTAGTTCTTCTTCACTTTTTGCCATAAGGGTGGTGTCATCTGCATATCTGAGCTTATTGATATTTCTCCCAGCAATCTTGATTCCAGCTTGTGCTTCTTCCAGCTCAGCGTTTCTTATGATATACTCTGCATATAAGTTAAATAAGCAGGGTGCCAATATACAGCCTTGACGTACTCCTTTTCCTATTTGGAACCAGTGGAGAAAAATGAAGCTCAAATGGGTGAGAAATTTTCTCACTGCCCTGTTGTTAAGTGGAATCCAAAATGGGCTCTGTTTAACTTTGGGGGTATGGGGTCTACACACATTCCTCTCTACTGCTGCGTCTCTATCATCGTAAGTGCCTAAGGAAATTTATCTACTGGATCTGTGTTCTCAAGTAAACAATGAGCTCCTAGAATGCAAGAACCATACTTATTTGTACTTGCATTTCAGCTACTATTACAAACTAAGAAATTTTTAGTAAGTAACTGAAGGAATAAACAAAATGAAGAAGAGAATAAAGATGGGATTCCACCAACTCTTTCTTCAGGAGGCTGGGCCCATGAAGAAAAGTGCTGAGGGCCTGGGAAAGTGGGAGAGGAGAAAGTAAACAAAAGAAGTTGGAGGACTTCCCGGGTGGTCCAGTGGTTTAAGAATCCATTTGCCAACGCAGAAGACAAGGGTTCCGTCCCTGGACCAAGAAGATAAAATTCCACAATGCTGCGGGGCAACTGAGCCTATGTGCCCCAACTATTGAAGCCAGCGTGCCCAAGGGCTTGTGTTCCTCAACAAGAGAAGCTGCTGCAATGAGAAGCCCGTGCACCGCAACTGAAGCGTAGGCCCCACTCGCTGCAACTAGAGACGAGTCCATGCACAGCAACAAAGATCCAGTGCAGCCAAAAATAAATATAAGATAAAAACTTAAAAATTAAGAGAAGAAAATGTAATATGGGGAAAAAGAATAAGATTAAGATTAATCAATTAAGAAAAGAATTTTATTACAAATAGAGGAAGAGTTTTTGAAGTCTGTATCAGGTCAGACATTACTCATTTTGGCAGTTGAGCATCACAGTAACCAAAGATGCCTTTAAATGTGGTCATTACTGCAATATTCAAGAACCTGTGGTAAATGCGATGGAAGCAGCAAAGGTTAACTGAGAGAATAATACCAGTATTTAACTTTTAGGTAGAATGTGATAAATATTGGGCTTCCCTGGTAGCTCAAATGGTAAAGACTCTGCCTGCAATGTGGGAGGCCTGGGTTTGATCGCTGAGCTGGGAATATCCCCTGGAGAATGGCTATCCACTCCAGTATTCTTGCCTGGAGAATTCCATGAAGAGAGGAGCATCCAGGAGATGTTCAATGTACTCTGGAAATTCAGGAGAGGCAAAACATCATGCTCTGTTTGGGAAACCACAATGAGGGCAAAGCTGAGAAACAACATATTGAGGTGGCGCTAGAGAAAAGCCTCAGAGAGTAGGCTGTAATAGAGAGGAGACATGGAGATAATGGAGGGGGACACGGGAGGGAGGGCGGCAGAAAGCGAGTGTGACAGGGACTGCCCAGTGGACCAGTACCGCTGCTGCTGCATACAGAGAGGAATGACAGAACAGCACAGCCTGGAAAGAACCCCTACAGCTCTAACATGTGGAATGTTTACTATTAGACTCCTGAGTTTAAATGTTCCTCAGAACACCTATATTATATTCATAGTATAAATATGCTTAAATTGGCGAGTAAGCTTGGTGTAATTTTCTACCACTCTGGGAGAATACAGAGATTATACATTACTAAGTAAGACTGAAAAAGAACAAGACAGGGCTAAATATCTCAATATATAAAAAGGTCTTGCAAATCAACAAGAAAAAGATTACTACTGCCAGCAGAAAAATGAACAAAAGAACAGAACATGCAATTTGAAAAAGAAGACATGGCCAAAGACCATAAGTTTGATTTGATGTGTAATCAAAAAAAAAAATTTTTCCCTCCCTACTTAAAATTTGTCTTAAGAACTCTCATTGAACAGATCTTCTTCATTGTTTTTAGCACCATCTGGATACATGCCATTATGTTAAGTTGCTGAAACACTGATATAAGTGAGCTGGACTAGGCTGTCTTTAACCTGAGTTCAAATACTTATTTTGGTGTGAGGAGGCCATAGAAAATTTATTCAACATCTGAAAGTTTCTGTAAAAGGAGGATAATTATATGCCTTGCTTAAGTCTTAGGACTGTTTTGAAGACCAAGTGAGGTAAACAGGATGTGACTTTATAGTAATGTTTCCAAACACTTATGACATATTTGCAAAATAACTCTTTTTAGAAAATATTTGAGGTGAGAAGATATTATTATAAGTAGGAAAATGAGATACAAATTTAAGGCATTATTGTAATAATACTTTGAAATGCACAAGGCGATCAAGATTTCAGAATCTGCTGACAACCACTACCGTGTACGCCAATAAAGATTTCTAAAATATCTAATAAGTTAGCAAGAATTAACAAACTTTTAGTGGCTACAAAACCCAAACATGGAGCATATGGCAGAGGAAACTATGTCAGGTAAGAATTACACACTTGATCGTGGCATATCCTTCTGGTTGCCTATACATATCCCTACCAAAAGAACTTTGATTCAGTTCAGGTATAGGTTATAGGTTGCTATGAGTCACAGGGCCCTCCCACACCCCAAGGGGTGAATGTAGATTAACCTAAACCAATCTATCAACCTCTTTTGCCAGTGACTGGCTTATGCATGCACACTGGCTGAGCGCGGGCCAATGCAATTCAACTGGAAGTCTGACGGGCCACTGCGGAAAAGGATGTTCTCCCTATACCAACAATAAAATTCATGAAGAGAATTATTTTTCCTGCCTCTTGACATACCTGCATAAGGATGTAATTAACTGGAAGTGTGGCAGTCATTTTTCAGTGATGGGAAGACGGGTCTGAGTGTGAATGTCAGCATGCATTCAGGACCTAGATTGTTTCTCAGGACCTAGAATGTCAGGACCTAGATTGTTTCTCACATGGTTGACCCACTATGAATTCATCAATCCTGGAACTACTCTGTTTCTGGACTTCTCATTTCCTGAGAACGGTAAACCTAGTATTGTTCAAGATACTACTAGGTGGCTCTTCCATTATTGGAGACCAAACCCAACCAAGGTAGAAGGTGTAGAAAAGAAATATAAACATCAATATCTAAAATGAAGCTGTATTTCTCAAATTTGAAGTGACAATTCTGCTCCAGCAATTATACAATCAATCTAATGATCAATGAAAAAATTCTGGAGGCAAGCTCCTGCAAATATTCTCTTACCTAGAACTTCCCCAGCAAGTATGTTTGTTGCACAAATTAATGCTATCCTTGTGCTTCTGTTCTTAGATTTGGGGTAGAAATTTTTATTATTCACCACTTACTAGAAAGTATTATGGTTTAGTTTATAGATTTTGAAATCTACGACCAGATTAGAATCTTAGTTCTGCCACTTAATAGGAAGGACTTAGCCAAAGGACTTACTTAGTCTCTGTGAGCTTTAATTTCCTCATCTATAAAGTGGAGTTAACAACCACCACCAACTCTGCAGTGCTATGGTGAGAATTAGGTCAAAGGAGAAGCCTTTTAGCAGAGTGGCAGGGACCTATAAACCAGTCTCCTGTATCAATTAGGCATTCCGTTTAGAGCGCCAAGTTTAAATTCAAATTCAAATCCAGAACCATAATAATTATATGGCTCAATGTATATCATACAATTTCCCACTCATTACCTGTTCCAATATCCATTTTGCATATGCAAAGCCCAAAGGTCATAGAGGAAGGAACTTGCTCGAGGTCACAGAGTTTGGTAATAGCAGAAGTAGGATGTAAGCACAGATCCTTTAACCCCAAGATCAGAACTCTGCTCATTTTGATTCTATGCATACTACACTGCTTTGCATTTTGTCCAAACTACTAACCAAGCCCAATACTACTCCATGCTTTCTCCCAATAAAATCCAAATCATAAACTATATATACTATCCCTATGAAATTACCCATTTTATTTATGTCATCCATTTATAAAATTCTCAGTTTACTCAGGTACATATATAAAAAGACAAAGGTATAAACAAATTATGTCATTATACTACGTGTGCAGATACACTCACCATACAATCACTGCGAATCTACATATATACATTAACAGCAAAACCAAATTTGATTCTTACCTTCGTAAGATCCATTCCAAGTCTAACCTGTGACAACAGATGCATGATAACACTCTTGTGCTCTTCCACCGACCCTGCCTCCCCTTCGTCATCTCTATCATCATGTGAATCGAAAAGGTCTAAAATAAAACAAATCTTCTTAGACTGGTGTTACACTGGGCCAATCTGTGCTGGTACCAGTATTATAAATAATTTTTTTCAAACAAATATTTTTAAGGAAAAAAAGTTAAAACTCTCAAAGGCTGCTTACCAGCATCGCTTGTTCCATTGGACATGGAAGAATTAAGTGATTCCGTGGTATCTGGGCGCTTTAGACTATTTCCCGAGCTGCTGTGTGTCAAGACTGAGGCAGATCCAGAGGAACTAAAAAAAAATCAACCACCTTCTTAAGCTTTTTAAGGAAGCAACTTAAAATCACAGTAAGACATTAACCTATAAAGCTACTTAAAATCAGTATATGCAGATAACTGACAGAAACTAGACCTTTAAAGTTAGCTGGTTATATACATATATGTATTCTTGATTCTCTCCCCATCAGCTTCATGTTTTCTGCATGGTGTATGCTCACATATTGAAAGGTCATGAAAAATTAGTAAGATTTTGCCTCTTCATGTAAATTTAAAACTTGAATTCATTTTTCAAACTTGTTTCTTTGCATAAATTTAAGTCTGTCGTAATTCTTGGCAACAATTTCCAGAACCTCAAAAATGATATATCTATTAGTCTCAGAAAGATGTCTGTATTTTTGAGACCTTTGAAAAAGCCTACACGGGTAATAACATCTTTCCTAGTCAATAAAAAACCATATTTGAAATTTAAAAAATTTAAAAGTACATTAACTTTTACAAGTAAATTTATGGTAAGTGGTATTATGAGCTGACTAACAGGGTCTAAAGAAAGCGCCCTCTATTATATAGCTCTGATCATAACCTACCTAGAACTTATTACCAAGCAATAAGTAATCAAAGTTTACTTATTAAGGATAAAAACAGAAAGGAAATTTCTCACATTGCAGGTATTATTTATAAATGGTACACACACTGAAGTCTTTTATTGCAAATTTATAGATGCAAACGCCACTGTTCTTCAGTTGCCAAGTTGTGCTCGACTCTTCTGTGACCCCACAGACTACAGCCCACCAGCCACTCTGGCCATGGGGTTTCCGAGGCAAGAATACTGAAGTAGGATATCATTTCCTCTGCCAGCAAAACACATTATATATTCTAATTTAAACATAGTTTACAAAAAAAAAAAAACAACAACATAGTTTGCCCTGATTACTTTTCTTTTCTTTTTTTTTTCCATTTATTTTTATTAGTTGGAGACTAATTACTTTATAATATTGTAGTGGTTTTTGCCATACATTGACATGAATCAGCCATGGATTTACATGTGTTCCCCATCCCGATCCTCCCTCCCTTGATTTCTTATTTAATGATAAGCGTGATATTTTTAAAGAGCAATTTTAGGTTCAGAGCAAAACTGAGCAGAAAGTACAGAATTCCCATACGTACAACTTTCCCACCATCAACATCCTGCACCAGAGCGGTAGCACATTTGTAGCAACTGATGAACTGACATGACATGGCATTATCACTGAAAGTCCATAGTTTACAGTAGGGTTCACGCTTGGTCTTGTACATTCTAAGGATTTTGACAAATGGATGTTGCTAAGTGTCCATCATTGCAGTATTGCAGAGCATAGTTTCATTACCCTAAAAATTTTCTGTGCTCTGCCTATGTTAGAACATTAGTTCACAGAGAAGTTATCATTATGACAGATCTTTAGAAACTGAACGGTGGAAGGACTTAAGCTTTCAAATTCTCTTCCTTCAGGGAGATATACTGTAGATAGAAACTTGACTCAAGACTAGAAAACTAGTGGTAGCAGCTGATGACCAGCAGGTGGCACACAAGCTCAATGCCTACAGACAACATGCAGCATCAATATGAGAATGGTGGTGATGGTGGTGTAATTGCCAAGTTGAGTCTGACTCTTGTGACCCCACGGACTGTAGCCTGCCAGGCTCCTCTGTCCGTGGGATTTCCCAGGTAAGCATACTGGAGTGGGCTGCCATTTCCTTCTCAAGGGTATCTTTCTGACCTAGGGATCAAACCAGTGTCTCCTACATTGAAGGTAGTCTCCTGAATTGCCGGCAGATTCTTTACTGCTGACCAACGAGGGAAGCCTCGATATGTGAATAGGGTCAGGTGGGCTTCCCAGGTGGCTCAGCAGTAAAAGAATCTGCCTGCAATGCAGGAGACCAGATTCGATCCCTGGGTTGGGAAGATCCCCTGGAGGAGGAAATGACAACCCACTCCAGTATTCTTGCCTGAAAATTTGACAGGGGAACCTCGCGGGGTATAGTCCATGGGGTCTCAATGAGTCAGACACGACTGAGCACTCCCCATTCCATAAGACAATGGAGAGCTGGAGCCAGCATAGTCAATTGGAAGGGATTTAAACTCCCATTAAAAAAAAAAAAAGTCAACAAACACTGTGCTGGCCAAATAAAATACCTATAGTTCCTACTAGTTTTGGAATCTAGATTAAGGCATATAAGGAAGCATGAAGGTTCACAGACCATGTTTGTTATGGGGTGGATACTGGGAGAGCACAGAGAAGGAAGTTTCTAAGGAGAAAAAAGAAATGCCTATGAGCCTGCAGGTAACTTTGTAGACATGTCTATTATAGGTACAACAGGTAAGCAAGCATTTAAAATTTAAGGAGTACCCCTAAAACTGGGGCCAGAGACTGACTATCAGTGATGTAGTAAGGAGGCTAACCATATCATCATCAAGCTTTTAACAAATATAGTTAGATTTCTAGAGGATAGATGATTCATTCTGATACTCAATTTGTACTATGTTTCAAATAATAGCTAATGTCCCATGAAGTAGACTGTCTTTAACTCTGTTTAAGCAAACAATGACTTAACACTTCAAAAATCAATAATAATCTTTATTTTGAAATTTTCTCCCAAATGCCTGTTTTCTTTTAACCTATTATAAAAATTATTTTTCAAAATGAAAGTAAAATTTCTATTGATTGGCAAACTGTTAATAATGGTCTTGTAATAGTTTACTGCCCCACATACAAACATTAAGAAACCAACATGCTAAACCAAACTCTTTCTGTTGAACTAGTCATCTTGAACTGTGGGCTCAAATCTCTCTTCCTCTCACGTTAGTAACAGTATGTATTCACCTAATGGAATATATTTTACATTTCTCACATTCAAATGTTGAATTTGATCTACTATGTAACAAAACTTCCTGAATTAATATAGTCATTTTCCTTATATATTTTGAGATTCTGAACAGTTATGGTACAATTACATATGGAAAAAAATACCCAACAAAAAGTAAGCCAGTCACATCTACAACAAATATAGGAACATTAAAGCAAATAAATGTTAATTTGCTTTCTGTAACAGCTATCGCTTACTGCATACTTACCGTATTACTTACTGCATTACTTACCGTAATGCCAGACATTACGGTAAGCACTTGATTGACATTATTGTCATCTACATGTTCACAACGACTCCTTGAAGTTGAAACTATTATCATCCTCACTTTACCAACAAGGAAACTGAGGATTACACAGGTTAAGTAACTTGACCAAGATCACACACTTTTAAAGCAAAACAGATTTAGAACCTATTATTTCTTTCTAAGATTCCAGAATCCAAGGTCTAACCACAGCAACCTATATACCAGCAGGGATAAAAAGGACTTTGCTGACTGGCTATCATGTAAGTGGGCTTCTCTGATATCTCAATTGGTAAAGAATCTGCCTGCATTGCAGGAGACCTCGGTTCGATTCTTGGGTCAGGAAGATCCGCTGGTGAAGGGATAGGCTACCCACTCCAGTATTCTTGGGCTTCCCTTGTGGCTCAGCTGGTAAAGAATCCGCCTGCAGTGCGGGAGACCTGGGTTCAGTCTCTGGGTTGGGAAGAACCCCTGGAGAAGGGAAAGGCTACCCACTCCAGTATTCTGGCCTGGAGAATTCCACAGGTTGTATAGTCCATGGGGTCACAAAGAGTCGGACACAACTGAGTGACTTTCTCTTTCTTTAACTATTATGTAAGTGACTTTATGTGTCAAGAAAAGACCTTTTCTTGGAACATACCTAGCTTTGACCTGACAGTGTAAAATAGGTCAAATATCTCCTAATAAAAGAAAATCTACCATCACTATCTGCCAAAATCTGCCTACTTTGTATCTCTGGAGTTCACATGCTTCCCTCCATTCGTGTGCTATGACCTTAGCTCAGGTTATCAACATTCCTCAATTTCCTACCCAGTTTTGGCTGGTCTTCCTACACATAATGCATTCCCACTGTACTCAATTCTGTACAATTTAGGCATATTTTTCCTATCTATTTTTCTAAAAGATAGACCTGACCAGCAGCTGCCATCACCTAAGAGAAAATGTTCAAAATTCATAAAAGGCTAAAAGGACTCCTTCATAACTTGGCCCTTGTCAACCTCTCCTGTATCCTGTATCTTCTTAACCACTTCCCACAGTTTATAACCACACTCAGTCACGCTCACTAGCTTATAGCTTCTCAAAACCAAGCCCCTGCTGCCCCCTGGCTTTTCTTATTAGGGTTCCATCTCCATGAGAAGAACATTTTCCATTTCCCCCTCCTCTTCTCACCCCCATGACCCTTCTCTCTCATCCACATCTCATCTTAGGATCACATTCCCTCTATCCTGTGAATCCTTTCTTGACTTCTCAGGACTTCAAAATGCTCCCAATTCTTCCTGGGCTTATTCTTACAAAGCATATTTCACACTGAATTATAAAAGTCTGTTTTCCCCACAAAAGACTGTAAGTTCCTGAGGGCAAGGACTGGCTCTTGTTTCATTTCTGTATAAGGTGGCGCCAGTGATAAAGAATTCGCCTGCCAATGTAGGAGACACAAGAGACATGGGTTTGATTCCTGGGTCTGAAAGAGCCTGTGGAGGAGGACGTGGCAACCTGCTCCAGTATTCTTGCCTGGAGAATTCCATGGACAGAGGAGCCTGGCAGGCTATAGTCCATTGGGTCCAAAGTCCTAAACACATCATTCTTCTACCAGGCTAGTACAGAGCCTTACTTATAGGTACCTGAATACCTCCACTCTAATACAAAACAAGTAATAGTAACCTCCTCTTATAGGAATAATTCCTAGCATCCTCACTTTCATTTGATCCTCTCCTAATGCTGGTTCTATAGAAATAAAGCCCCAATCCTGGCATGTTACCACAACTGATGCTAACTTATTCCATTTAAATTAAATCGGGAGTAAAATGAACATTCTCACAGAACTAGCCTTGACTCAATAAGTCAAATGAAAATAAGCTGTCTTTTTCATTTTTTCCAAATAATAATTTTTAAAGGAGCTTGTCATTAACACCAGTTTCAAAATCAAATCACATTTTTAAAAATCAGGAGACTCATTTCAATAGTTAGTTCACCTACTTACTCTATTAAGCGCTTTGGTGATGAGCCACTCTGATGAAATTCATCTGCATCATAGAATTCATCTTCACTGCTAGAGTAAGAGAACTCTGGGACTGTGTTTGGAGACAAGTTGACATGGCTTGGAGAAGTCAGACTGCTACTAGGTGGTGAGTGGCCACTGCCTAGAAAGTTAAAAGAGTTTTAAATTAAGAGACAATGTTGGTAACAGAAAGGAAGAAATTAGAAAGATGGGGTCAAAGCAGACCTATTAAAATCAAGAAAAGAGTTAAGTTGGCAGAAGTCCCTAGACTATTTGTAAAGAAAATCAACATTTAAACTAGACAAAGAAAAAGGCAAATCACATTACAGAATGGGACACAGCCTTCTAAATAAATGAAAAAATGCTATGTCTCTTTGATAATCATCTGGGGTTCATTGTCGAGTAATAAAAAATAACAATAAAAGTATCAAACAGAACAGTGAAATATTGAGAGCAATTTAAAAAGTATTTGTTGAGCATCTAAGGACTCTCAGGGAATTTGTGCCAAACTGCTACCGATGTCTGGTGGAGAGTAAAGTCACTGCTGACAATCTAAAAGCCAATGCCACACTTCTAGAAGAAACAAGAACAGCAGCAATAAAAATGAATCCAGAGCCACCCATGGATTTTTTGCCCATTCCACGGTCTATGCTTCAACAGTTATGAGACAGCACATCCACCTGCCGCACTCAGTTACCATGTTCACTAAGATATTTTTAAAACATAAACACAGAAAGTTTGCTGCCTAAATAGGCAAAGCTTATTGTGGGAACGCCAGAGATAGTTCATCTTAGCAAATGACTTTAAAAATCTTCTTCCCACCCACCTGTCCTGCTCCATATCAGCAATAAGATGGGAAATAAATTTTCCCTTATTGAAATAAGGGGGGAAAAAATGACAGAGAAAGGAAGAAAGAGACCAGGAATTACAAATGATTAAGTAATATGCAAATAGTCCCGGCAACCACACAAAACTGAAAATGTATTCAAGAAGAAAATGAGTTAGAATGGGAACTGCAATCCAAAGAATTGAGTTTTCCTTATGACAGAAAAAATTGTTTTCTTTTTTTATGTTTTAGTGACAGAGATAAAGGAAAGAAAGATGAAGAATTTAGGTTGAAAAATCAAACAAGACATAAACCACAAAAGATTTCTTTAAATCCACCTACTCTAAAATGTTATATTTTTATAATGCCTCCTGGAATAATTTATCCTAAATTATTTATCATTATTTATAACTAATTAATGACTCTAAACTTCATGTACATAAAAAATGCGAACTTTTTCAAAGTTTGTAACTGACTAGTAATTTTATATTTCCAAATGGATATATTTTGGCTGTTTCAAAATTCTAACATAATCCCTCCTTATAAAAAAAGAAACACAGATACCATTTTTAAAATGGCAAAGTGTAATGATATACAGAAAAAAGTCAGCCAACCATTTCAACTTTATTATTCAAATTGCTTATCATCACTTTACAGTTTCAAATAAGAGAGCTCTTCTTGTTGCTTGCTTTTTTCCAAAATTAAGACATATGGTTCAGGCTGTTAAATATTAAAAATCCAAAGTAACAGCATCTGCATTTTTACTAATTCAAATTTCATATTGGGCTAAAAATCACAGGGTAGCTTTTCATTATTACACAGGAAAGCCCCACCCAGGAAAGAATCTGTGGAGCAATAGCAGGGGCTCATCTCCCATGTCCTTCATGTGGTTTTGATTTTGGCCTCCAGGTGGAATAGGGACAAAAACCAAGTGCTCCCTTGAGTTTGGTTCAACTGATAACTCAACATCAACCTGATTAGTTTTAAAATAAGGAATAAATCTATACTAACATTGATAGCATCCTTGTGAATCAGAGAAAAATAAAAAAACCAGGAATCTAAACAAATTAAGAAAATGCAAATTAAAATCAAGTATCCTTTTTTTGCTTATAAAATTGGTGAAAAATGTGACTGATAAATCTATCCATAAAAATACATTATGTGCCCAAGTTGCTGTTCAAGAGTATTCCCTGAAATACTGCTTATAATAGGAAAATACTGCAATTAACATAAATGTCCATCAGCAGGAAAACAGGTAATAGCTCCCTGAGCAGCTGTAAAAAGTATGTTGTAGACCTAAGTGTATAAACACAGAAAGTTCTCTAAATGGTTCTCGGTTAAATGAAAATTGAGAAAGTCACAGAACCATATGATCTCATTTAGGTTAGAACAAAAACAGTAATAAAAGTATGCAATACAGGTAGACATGTACATACATGTATGCAAACAACAAACAGTAAAGAAGATTTACAGCTTTTGTTCTCATACTTCTGTATTATTTGATTCCTTTACAATAAGAAAGTATATAAATCTAACCTGAGCAATTTTTTTTAAAAAAAGTCAAAACATATCTTCAAAATAAATCACAACAAATACACAAAATTCTGCAATAATTTATTTCATATAAATTATAATTATTATTAAATTTCTGGTTCAATCACAAAGCTAACCACTTCATGGATGGAACTATAATGGTAAAACTAAGGTATCACCAACGCAAAATATACCACCTTTCTTCAATGTTTTCCCATCAGTAATCAGACACAAATCTCAAATGTTAATGTGCAGTTATGAGAAGTAAAGGAATCACACAAATCTGTACCTGTACTATTTGGTGTTGGAGTCTGATGATGTCCCAAGGTTGTTAATACAGGTCCAACTGGTAGAGAGGATGGACGCTGCTCTGACTTACACAACTGAGTAGGTTCTAGGAGATTTAAGATGTGAAATAAGTGAGAGAAAAAGCCAAACACAACTTTTAACTACAACTCTGTGGAATTTAAAATCTTAAAAGATCAGTAACTTTTGAGACTATATTCCAGTAAGTCACCTTTCATGCTGCTCCTCCTTTCCAATGTCCTATCCTCTTTAAACTCAATGATGGTAGGCTACCAAGTTCTGAGACACTAGGTGGGGTATCAAAGACTCGTCAAGATAGGCCAATATCTTAGTACAATTGCTCTGTACAACCAGCAAATGCTTCTGATGATAAACTGTTTCCTCCCCAAGAATGGGCTTCCCAGGTGGCTCAGAGGTAAGTAATCTGCTTGCCAATGCATCAGACCTAAGAAATTCGGGTTTGATCCCCGGGTTGGGAAGATCCTCTGATGGAGGGCATAGAAACCCACTCCGGCATTCTTGTCTGGAGAATCCCATAGACAGAGGAACCTGGTCTATAGGTTGCAAAGAGCTGGACACAACTGAGCAACTTAACATGCACAGAGCATGCACCCGAGGATTAAACCACATGTAAAATCTAAAATGCGGCACAGTACTTCCTCTTTAGTCTCATGAGATATTATGCTCCTAATTTTCTCCTAAGGAGAAAAAAATTCCTAAAAAGACCTCACATACTTGTAAGTAATTTTAAAAAGATTTTTTTTTCCCCAGTAAAATTTCTGTTAACTTCATCACCAATGAGAACATTTCACCCAACAACTGAAATGTTGGATGCCACAAAAAAGTAAAAGGAATCAGTGGGTGTTGGACCTAAGCCCTCCTTTGCCAGTTAAAAAAAAAAAAATTATTCTATCCTTAAAAATACACATGTATAACTAATCAGTAGGCATCAAAAATCTCATTCCTCACTTTCTCATTATCCTGAAGTCCACCATAAAGAAATCACTTGTATAATTCAGATTTATAAAGAATACACAAAAATAGAACATTTCTGGGTTACCTTCAAGTAGATCAAGGTATATTATGTTTTCCTTGGTAGCCATGAATCCTGGGTCATGGGATTCAGTCCTATCAGCTAATCCAAGTAATCATGTTTGTCTTCCATCTCACTTTGAAAACCAAAAGCTTTTGAACTGTATTTAAAAACCTCCAATCCCAAAAATAGTATCATTTTTTTTCAAGTTCATTTTTGGCTGTATTTGTGTGTGAAATTCCTTTTACTTTATTACAAAAAAAAAAAAAAAAAGAGTTCTTCAAGATTACAACTGCCATTAAAAAAAAAGGTTTTTGTCATTAATGAATCTGTGAAACATTTTTCCAAATATTATACTATACCTGGAGGTAAGACAGTCTGGGAAGGCATTGTGTTGACCACAGGTTCCAAGGGACTAGGTTGATATATTGCATCCACAGGATTAATAGTACTCTGAGGTAAAGAAGCACGGCAGTTATTTTTATTGTAATTACCCTTCTGGTGTTGACCCTCCCAAATGTACAAAATGCCCACATTTCTGACAGCAAAGTCCTGGGAGCAGCTATGCAGACATGTTGGTCAAATTTCAACAAGGAAATAAAACAACTTTACTATACAGCAGGTTAAGAGTTTCTTATAAAAAAATTTTCTCAAAAAGCGTAGTAAAGAGGAAAAATGAATGAATCTGTCACATAGAAAGGTGAAGCCAAATGAAAGCACATGGAAAGAGCTGTAGAATTGTTTCAGGAAGCCAAAACAATAAATTCTCAATTCAATTCAGTGCTTCTCAAATTTTTAATTCAACACAAATTTCAAAGCAGGGAGAATGCTCTTACTTTGGTATTAATGAGCATTGTACCTATGATGAACTAAAATACCTGCACCACTATAATCTTATCTTCACCCCCAGACGACTGCCACTATTGTCAATGTGTACTGCACTGTATAGGCATCTAGCTCTACAGTCACTAAAGGCAAAGAAACGTATCTCCTAACTGGTTGCTGGGGGGAAGAAAGCTTTTTTTTTTCTTGAGGATTTAGAAGGAAAAAAAAAAAAAACTCAAACATGTAGTTATTTGACAGAGAGAGAGAGAGAAAAAAAAAAAGCCTAGGTTTTCTGACTCCAAGCCAAGAAACTATTTTGCCAGCATAATGGTATTTTAAAAACAAGACTTCACAGCTTCCTGATTTTTTTTTTATTTGGAGGAGGGGGAGATTTTAAATCAAGGTCTTTGCCAAAGTAAAGTTTAAATCCAAAAAAAAAAAAAAAAGTTTAAATCCAGAAGAAGACTACATTAATGTAGACTACATTAGATAAAACCCAAGAAATAAAAAGTTCTTCAGCTTTCTTTGATCTGGAAAACTAAACTTCAAATTTATTAGGTAGAGCTTATAACAGAAAATACTAAAACAGAATTAGAAAAGATGTATTTTACTGATGAATGAGCTTCAAAAGCATTTGTGAAAATTTAAAAGCACCTAACAATGGAAATTGAGATAATGGGAAAGTTTCTTATAGCATTCTTATTTAATACCTGAGTTAATTTTTTTCTTAAACCCCTCTCTGCATACAGAAAAATCACTAAATCAGATCTCTTAAATTAAGTAATTTAAACACAAGAATTCTGTCACAGCACTCAATCTACCATAAATATTCTAGGCCAAGGATATAAAGGACACAGAGAAGAAACTCTGAAAATGATAATTAATAATTTAAAAACTCAGTAAAGTGAAGTGGGGAAGGTTCCAAAGCATTAGGAAAAGCACGGAAACAGAGACTTAGAACTTTAATTCCTAGAATCCTTGCTCTACCAGTGACCTGGCAAGTCTAATCTGCTGTGGGCCTTACTTTCCCAGTGTATAAAATGAAGAAATGGATGCTATGGTCTCTAAAGGCTTTCTGGTTATTACTTTAGGATTCTATTTTCAGATACTAGGCTGGGCCATAATAACTAAACAAGTGTCTCAACAATCCTGGAGCTGTTCTTAGAACATAGTTCTTATTTTTAAATAGTAATTTTTCTCTAAAGGGACCCAGGTGCTTTAACAAAGGCAAAATCCCACTTCTAATACTTTGAGCCACAGGGACAAGAACATCCTGCCTCCTTATTCCCACCTATTACATTAATGTAAGTAAAATTTATAAAGACACTAAGAAATAAAATAACTTTGGAAAAATGGACCAGAATTCTATCTTTTGAATGCAATCTTCTGTTTTTCACAAGCCTAAGATTAGGCTTGTCAATCCCACAGAACACTTTTAGACTTTTTAAGATGTATGTGAAAGGCACCAAATATTTCTTGCTGCTGTTGTTAACAGAAAAGACAACTATTCTACACATATCTAACAATCTGTGATCAATCAACTTCAGGCTAAAATATGTCAAATAACATTCTATGCTTTGCTTTAAAAAAGAACGTGAAGAGCTTGAGAAGTGCAAACAAATGACAATCCCGAGCCCTAATCTGTTGTTAACATTAATAAAAGTTCATGCAATACAATACAAAATATATTAATTATATATACATACATGTATGTATAGCTAACATTTATTGAATACTATGTGCACACTATCTTACAACAACCCTCTGAGGTAGAAGTCACTTTTCTTTATAGATGAGGAAAAGAAGACTCAAAGGTTAAGTAACTTGCCTGCAGTCACAGCTAGTAACTGGCAGGGCTAGGTCCTAGTAGTCTGGATTCAAGGCCTAAACCATACACAATTTCTTAAAAAAAAAAAAAAAAAAAAACTCTTAAGGAAAAATGCTATGGTCCCTAATCAAATGATTCAAATATGTCTGTTTTCTGTAAGTTTAGATCTTCTATGAGTATAAACTTTCTAGATGTTTTTAAACTGCAAATAATCAAACATTTTTGGTATGCTTTATAAAACTGTTGTTTAACATAATAAAAAGTAATTGATTTGCTTTGAGGGAAAAGAGATAAAAATAACTGCCATCATTATTTTTCCTTAAGGTCTTAAGGAACCATGAAATTCTAGACAACTTACATAGTCTTTTTCCATGAGGCTTATAATCTTAACTGCTATCTCAGGAAGAGATATATTATATTATGTATTTATATCACATAGTTCTATTAAATCACCAGAACTCAAACCCTGAATTCATACTGTGAAGAAAAACAAAAATTTCAATGTGTTTAATTCAAATTTTAAAAATGTTTCTCTTATCTCTGTTTTCTCAAGAAATATATACACAAGATAAGACATCTAACTTGTGTTCATTTTACAGCAAATAAAAAGATAACATACTCATCCTTTCAAGTATAATCATAAGATGGTTTTGAAGATTTACAGAATGAGTTTGCAGACCTCTGGCATTTGTAAAGCCTTAAGACTAAAAAAAGAGGCTGCCTCATGCTTCAAAAATAGAGTCTGAACACAAGTCACACATGTATCATAAAATCAGGGAAGCTTAAACTGCAAACTTTCAAACTCTAACTTTTATTTCCAATAAAATTTTCTTTTTGGTGGCCAAGTTGAATATAAGGGAAGAATAAAAAACCAAGGGAAGGAAAGAAGAGAAAATGGCTATACGTGAAAAAATTCACATTGCAACCTGCTGCTACAAAAAAGCAGTATACACCACAGCGGCAGTGACAGCTAACACAATACACAAAATCTAAAAAAATAAAAAAGGAAGAAAGAAACCTATAAACATATAATTAGATTAAGATATGTTTCAGTACTGTGCCCCCTACTTTCATTAGAAAAAGTTTGCCAAGAAATGTAGCATTGTGAGTTATGCAGTATTTAGTCATAAAAGCCGCATTTTTACACCGTGATTAACCCGTCAAGTTAACACATGCAAGGTGATTCAATAAGAACCAACACTTAATTTTAAGATCTACATTTCCCCTCCAAATGATTGCTGAAAGACGGCCAACTGTAAGAGCTCAAGGAAAATCGCAAGAATCAATAATAGAGAGCAGTGAGTGGGTAAAAAGAGGGATTTGTGTTGAAAAATAAGTGGAAATTCAGGCTTCTCCTGACATAACTCGTTATTAATGTTCTGCAGAAGTAAAGTGGAGTAAAGATTAGATTAAACTTACTATAATTCCATCTGCGTGATTCTCCGCAATATACTGGTCCTTAAGGAGAAATGTTAAAAATATTAACTTCATTCTTTCATTTAAGTTAACGCCTTGTGTACTCTCTTCCCTGGTAAGAAAGTTTATTTTACTGTGTAAGCAACAATGTTAGAAAACTACTAATCTGTTTCCACTAAGATAATTTCACTTGTCCATTCCTAGCCAAACAGAATTCTAACCAAGAACATGGAAATTATTTTTCTATACAGGCATTTAATTATTTGTAGAAATATCCTATTTAACTGTGCAGTCACGTTGGTACCAATGATTAAAAGTAGATACATTAATTGAGGATTAAAGGTTTAACTTCATAGCAAATTATTCTGACTCTCCACACCCCCAACCTCTTACTGTACTTTAAAGATATGACAATCATATATCTTTAAAAACTTAGGATAGACACAACTTTCCATATTCTGGCTACCAGCTCCAAAATTATATTCTTTTATAAATAGATGGTCTGATTTTTGTCTCAGTAATCATAATTACTATAACCACAGAATGATGATATAGGGGCAAACACATACTACCTGGCAGATACTTTACATACAGTCATAGACCTCAGAGGTATTCCAGTCCACCACAATAAAACAAATACCACAATAAAGCAACTCACACAAATTTTTTGGTTTCCCAGTGCACATAAAAGTTGTATTTACACTATCCTGGTAGCCTATCAAGTATGCAGCAGCATATGTCTTAAAAAACAATGTCCATACCTTAATTTTAAATACTTTATTGCTAAAAAATGCTAACCATCATCTGAGCCTTCAGTGAGTTGCAGTAGTAATATCAAAGACCACTGATCACAGATCGCCATAACAAATATAGTAATAATGAAAAAGTCTGAAATATTGTGAGAATTACCAAAATGTGACAGACCACAAAGTGAGCAAATGCTGCTGCAAAAATGACGTCAAGACTTGCTCGACACAAGGCTGCCACAAACATTCAATTTGTAAAAAGCAGTATCTGCAAAATGCAACAAAGCAAGAAAATTCACCTATTTCACCTACAACTCTATCAAGTAGATATTATTATTCTTCCCTTGGATAGATGAGAAAACTGAGACAGTGTAAGAAGCCAGGACTCCAAGACATGTAGTTTAGTTATAGAACTCAAGCTCCTTAACTCATCTCCCCTCTCCAAGAATGTACTTAAGAAGAAGCTGGTGGAAAGTTATTGAACATATTTGCTCCTGTAACTATAATCCATCTATTAATAATACACAGACAATATATTTAGCTTAAAACTGTTAACATTTCAGCTCCATACTATCAGGAAGCTTTCAAGTTTTAACAGAAATTGATATTTGGCTTTGGTTTTAAAGTTAATAGCCAAGTTATATCTCATTTATGTTTAACTCTTTAACCATGGAGTTTACTGAAAATCCACAACATTGAAGGATCAATCAAGAACAATTTAAAGATTAGGAGATAATTAAAAAAAAAAAAAAAGAATTAACACAGCAGGCCTGAAACAGCTATCCTTAGAAAAGCCTGCCTACAGAGAAAGCGGGGCGTTCAGCTTGTGAGCGGGAACTTCTCAGTCGCGCACAGAGAAAGAACAATTTAAAAATGGGTGATGAAGTGTGCCCAGTGCCATACTGTGGAAAAGGGAGGCAAGCACAAGACTGGGCCAAACCTCCATGGTCTGTTTGGACGAAAGACGGGTCAGGCTGCTGGATTCTCTTACACAGATGCCAACAGGAACAAAGGTATCACCTCGGGAGAGGAGATGCTGATGGAGTACTTGGAGAATCCCAAGAAGTACATCCCTGGAACAAAGATGATCTTTGCTGGCATTAAGAAGGGAGAGAGGGAGGACTTGATAGCTTATCTCAAAAAAGCTACCAATGAGTAATAGTTGGCCACTGCCTTATTTATTATGAAACAGAAGTGTCTCATGACTTTTTATGTGTACCATATTTAAATTGATCTCATACACTAGAATTCAGACCATGAACGGCTGATGGAATAATTCTGTTGGACAGTCTTGATTTAAATAAGATTGGTTTGTGGCTAAAAGAAAAAAAGAAAAGCCTGCCTACAAAGTTGGCCTTTGGCTGGTGTCTGGGAACCTGGATTTTAGGAGGGTTCCCAGCACCTAACTATCATAAGGATAACCTCACTGTGCCTGAACTACTTAAGCAACCCAAACGGTTGGTTTACGCTGAACACCTGCTTTGCTTCTGGGACTCTGGAATTTGCTAAGTGCAAGGTAGAGAGTGCTATGGGACAAGACCCCAATAAAAACTTTGGGCACCGAGTCTCTAATAAGCTGCCCTGGCAGACACTTCACATATGCTGCTCGAGGAGTGACGCACACCTTGTACGCTCTCACCGGGAGAAGACTGCTGGAAGTCCTGGCCTAGCTCCCTCTGAGTTTGGCCCCGTGTGCCTTTTCCCTCTGCTCGTTTGCTTTGGCTCCCCTGCTGCAATAATCCACATCTATGAGGACAGCTACATGCTGTGCCCTCCAAGCACATCGCCAAACCCAGGGGCGGTCTTATAATCTGCCAACACAACGCATATTTTCTTTGCATATCCTTGAGAATAAAAGCATGCTGATAAGTACATAATTCATGCTGGGATTTGCACAAGTGAATTAACTATATATTTACAATATCCAAAGTTTTGGATTCAGTAATTCTTAATTGAGGCAGTTGAGAATAAAATCTTGAGAACTACAGAGATAGGAAAAATTTAAAGTTTCTTGCTCAGATGATATTTTATTTTACTTTTAGTTTTCTACTAACTTGCTAAACATTAAATTGATTTTTTTCAAAGAATTTCTCAGAAATACATGTAAGTGGCAATAAAGTGGAAAGAAACACATGGCGTAGATTAAAATTTCCAAAAACGGCCCCAACAGGAGGTAGAGTTCATGGCCCCTACCCTCAAAACTTTGTGATTGTCTCTACCAATAAACGTAACAGAAGTGACTATTTATGACTTCTGAGACCAGGTCACAGAAATACCTTGGAATACCCAATCACCACACTGTGAGAAAGGCCAAACAATTTTAAAGAGAACTATGTGGAGGAAAACCTAGGCCGCAGCTCAATTTCCCAAGCACGTGAGGGAGTCATCTTGAAAGTGCATCCTTTGGTACCTCCCCCTACCCCTGCAATTACGCCAACAACAGGCACTGTGTCAAACAGAAACAAGTCATGAGGCCTACCCAAATTACCCCAGATTTGTGAGCAAAATAAATGACTGCTATTTTAAGACAGTTTACACGGGTTTGTTATATAGCAACACATTATTGATATAGTACATCATATTATCTAAGAAAACCACAACTTTTACCTCTGGCGCAACTTAAATAAACTTATATTTCCAGTTTTAAGATAAATAAGTACTAGGAATGTAATGTACAACATGATACATATAACTAACACTGCTGTATGTTATATACGAAAGTGGCTAAGAAAGTAACCTTAAGAGTACTTATCACAAAAATTTTTTTTCTATGTCTTTGATTTTGTATCTAAATGGCATAATGGATGCTCATTAAACCGACTGTGATAAACTTTTATGATGTATTAACAGTAAAGTTAATCACACCCACAACTTACACAGTGTAGTCTCCTGTATCTCAATAAAACTGGAAAAAAAAAAATAAACTTAAATATTTGACAATTTTTCCCTCAAAGTGTTCTCAATAATAAATGCTATCTACAGGGTATTTTAAGGCAGGGTTTACTATTTTTGTTACTGTTGTGCTTTATCTTTCAAGGCAGAGTCAAATCTAGATGAACCTACAGACTATTAAACACCTTACTACCAATCTATTCCCATCATGAACTTAAGGAATTTTGTACTATTATTTTAAAGGGTTTACAACACTCATTCCCACCCCCACCCTACCTTTCTTTTTAAAAATTTTATTGTTCTTGTTTTGTATGTAAACCACAAGTTGCTTTTTATCAGGGTCAGCTAAAGCTCAATTTCAAGTACTACTGAACCAGAGATTCAATTGAAATCAATATGAATTATGTTAATTAAACAAAGAAAGGATCTAATGCTACTTCCCACTTAGATTATAAATATGTTTATCTGATTTTACATCCCTTATTCCTTAACACAATGGATATTCTCTTCTTTGAACAAACCAACATGACTGAGATCTGGAAATATGATCATAACAAAAACACCAGCACAACATAATTTGGGAAGACTTTTGATCAGAATTATAGACTCCAGTATTTTAAAACCATACAAAACCATATTTAAAACCAATAAAATCCATGAAATATATTCCCATCTTTCTAATAAGGAAATGGAGTCTAATGAAAGCTCTCTTAATTATGGGCCTATACATGTACTTATTACATAAAATAAAAAATAAATATGCTATGGAGTTGAAAGAAAATTTCCAACTCACTTTGATGACATTCAACAAATGGGACTAGGACAACTGGATATCCACATTCAAAAAAAAAAAAGAACTTGGATCCATACCTCACACCACAAAGATTAACTCAAAGTAGATTATACACTGACTTAAATATAAGAGCTAAAACTATAAAACTCAAAACACAGGAATAAATCTTTGTCATTAAGGCTTAGGCAATGATTTCTCAGAAAAGTCACCAGAGCCAAAAGCAACAGAAGACTGATAAAGTGGATTTCATCAAAATTTAAAATTTGCATGCTTCTCAGGACACTATAAAGAAGCACAACCCACAGACTTGAAGAAAAATTTCTAAGTCACATATCTGATAAGTTGTATCCAGAAGACATAAAATCACTCTCACAACTAAATAAGAAGATTAAAATAGCCATCTAAAATAACGGGCAAAGAATGTGAACACTTTTCCAGAAGTGCAAATGAAAATCACTGAAACACCACTAGAATGGCTATAATCAAAAAGACAATCACAAATGATGGTGAGGACATTGGGCAAATAGAACCTTCATGCATTATGAATAGAACATAAAATGGTGTGGCTGCTTTGAAAAGTAGTCTAGCAGTTTCTCAAAAAGTTAAACAGA